TCCTTGTTGCAAAAAGAACTGAAGAGGCGTGATCGTTTTACCACAAAAATGATTTCTGAAATGGAGCAGGAAAGGAAGAACCTGAAAGAGAAAGTGAATAATTGGGCAGAAGAAACTGATAGGCTCATGAACTGGTTGAAAATTAATGATCGAAGACCAATAATGGCCATGGCAGCAGGAGATGTTCAAATTGAGGATGCATTTGAAATTGATGATGAGAAGTCAGGAGTGAGACTTGAGAGCTCGGCTGCAGATTTGGCTATAGAGGATGTGTTATATAAATTGGACAAGGCACTTGAACTAGAGGCTGTGAGTTTTGATTCATATATTAAGCAAGTGAGGAGCTTGGCCAGAGAGCAGTTCTTTCATAGAGCTTCAGAAATGAAATTAAATGGCCAGAAGTTGAATCTACCCCTTTAGCCAAATCCACTTGAATACTTATACAATTTTTCTCCAGGCATGTGCAGAACCATTAATAGTTCAATTTTTTCGTTATATCTTTTTCCCTAAGCATCAAGCTGTTTATCTCTCACACCAGTGAGTTCATCCAAACCCACCAGGTTTTATCAGCATCCACCAAGATCAAGGCTCTAAGTAAATTAAGGCGTGCATCTATATCAACGAAAAGTTGTTCATTGATTTGCATAACTGATCGGGTATGGTCGAATAGAATTAGAAATAGCAAACTCCTTTATGATTTATGAAGTCCACCAGGGAGGAATCGGCTTACAGCATCTGAAATCGTTTTAGGGAAAATCCCTCTAAAATTATTAAGAGAAACAATTAAAAATGGATTGTTATTACGTTCCATATTACAATGACATCACACAGCTTAAGTATTAAACAAAAGATTGTGAGAAGGGTCTCATTGAGACATCTCTTTTCACCACTCAACAGAATTAATAGGGATAATCGATGTACGTTGCTAATATTTTTTCTTACTAACGAGTGAGAGTGATGTATGAGGGCTACGATCTTGCCACGGAAGTTAACATAAGCCACGTTGGAAGATAAGCTCGTCTTCGTACTTAATAAACAAAGCATCAGAATCAGATGATTACCTAAAACACAGGGGAAAACAGTAAAATGAGAAATAAATCCTCTTTTTTTAATAAAAACAAAGATAAAATCACATCTTCAAAGTTACACCCATACATGGCTGGAAATAGGCATTCGGCATGGGCATCAAGTTTTGGCTAAAGATTTTGAGTGGGTTTCTCAGTCCAGTTCGATTTCAGCTGCTTCACCACATACCCTAACTTTATTTTTGTCTGTAAATGGGCTTTTTCTTTTTAATCATATTTTGAAGTTTTTGGTTATGGTTTCCCAACTTAGCTGTAGTTTAATTTGGAGCACGTAATTATTAAATTATTATGAAACATGAAGTTATATCGTACCACCATTCTAACATTATCATGTAAATGAAATGCATCCTTTTCAAATTATTAATATGATAGCAAACTATACGTGATTTGTAACCCTGAATTAATATACAAATAAATATTCACACATTTGTTTCATGTTTAGCATTTGTGATGACTACACGGATGGATCTACATATGGGCCAGTGGGGTAATTTCCTTATTCAAATTTAAAATCTCCCACTCTAATTGAAGAAAGAAAAAGCAACTATGGATACTTCTAAGCATAATAATTATGAAACGTAATTAATAATTAAAGTCTATTTCTCGATTTTTTCTCCCCATATGATCTTTTCCCACAATTAAATGAGAAAAAAAAATGCTTGCAAGTCAAAACAATTTTCTTTAATTTTTTATTATTTTAATGAAGTTATAAGTAAATAATACTTTATAAACTATTTGTGAAAATTTGCCCCCCTAAAAAATAATACTTGAGATTATGTATTTTTTTGTTATAATAACAATCTCAGCGTTTTTTATTGGATATTTCTCAATTGACTATGCAATTTTTTGTCATCTTGTGATGAAATCTAAATATATATCTAAATAATAAATTTTGCTCATGCACGGAACGGAGTTCTCCTTCCTAAGGGCCGGCGTATGGTGCTCCCTCATTCTTTTTTTTTTTTTCAATTAAATTTTAGATTTTTTTAATTTTAATTTAAAATTTTAAGATGGGATCCACTTTATACCAAATTTTTTTGTGTGTGCTTTTTAAAATTTTTTTTAAAAATTTTACAAATATTTTTTGTAAATTTAAATTTCTTTTCTTGGTTTTAGGATCACTTAATATAAAAAATATGCCACGTGTTTATTTTTTATATTTTTTTATTACATTTTTTTCATATATTTAATAAATTTTTTAAAAAATTTAAATTATTTTATGTATAAGGCATATGATACCATACCAGGAGAAAGTTACATGTCTAGTCATTCGCTTTTTTTTTTTTTTTTTCTTTTGTTAATATTTAATAAAATTTATATATTTAAACTTTTTTAAAATATAGGTTTTATTTTATATTATTATTTAAAAATTATTTTTTTAATTTGATAATATCTTTTAAAAAATAATATTACGGAGGTATCAACGTTACATTTGTGTTTGATTTTATTTAATTTTGTTGGTTTTTTAAACTTTTTTTATTTTTCGCTTTTTAAAATCATCATATAAATTTTGCAAAAAAAAAAAAATCATCATTATTGATGTTGCTTGATAACTTTAATTTTTTTCTTTTTTTATTTTTCTTTATTTTTTTCAATCTTTTTCTTCCTTTTATTTTTAAATTATTTCATTAAAAAAAGTCGACTAATGTGTAAATGTGGTACCATAATTCATTTGTTTTGCCTTTCACTTTTTTGTTTTTATTTAGATAAATTTAACAACATAAAAAACGGGTAAATAAGATTTTGAAAAAATATTAATGGCGGTATGATGATAAAATAACCCTTATCTAATGAGTTTTAATTTGTTCAAATCGAATAGATTTATTTTTTTATTAGGATTGGATCTTTTTTTTTTTCTCAAAAATCAAAGTCAAGTTGGATGGTATTTTGCTTTTTTTTTTATATATATATAAATATATGTTTTGTTATTCATTTAATTATATATATTTTATTAATAAAATTATTATTTAATACTTTAATTTAATAACTCATAGCTCGTGAGTTTTTATTTGTCCAATTCCAATAGATGCGAGACTTTTAAAAAACTCAAGATAGGTTGAGATTTTTTTTATTTTAAAATTAGATTTCAGTTGAAAACAAGTTTAAAGTCTTTCATCTTCTGTTGAGTATATATATAATTATTTTTAATTATTTATTTTATTTTATATTTCTATGTATGTATTATATTAATTAAATTATTATTTAATATCTTAAATTTATAAAAATACTATATTTATAAATAATTAATATGTAATCCATTTATTTATCTATCAATTTATTATATAAATTTTACTTATTTTGATTTTGATTTTACCTTTATTTAAAGTGTCACATTGACACTTTACATTTGTTTTATTTTTGGTTTTTTTTATAATTTTTTGTCAACTGTATTTTTTATTTTAATTTAAGTAAATTTATAACAACCAATTTGGTCTTTTTTTTTTTTTTTCGTTTTTCAATTACATAAAATTTATAACATATGGACCTGGTGGTGGATAGGGACAATAAATAGTTCGTATTAATGGGTTTTGATTTAATTGGATTCGATTGAATATATTTTTTTTGGTGTTTTTAATTTTTTAATTTGTTTGTTTATTATTTTTTATTAGATAAATTTTGTAATGAAATAATATTAATTGAGATATCTATGTAACACCGTCATTTGGTTATTTTCTTTTATTTTTTGTGATTTTTAATTAGATTAATTTTATAATAACAATGAACCTTTTGATAGGGATTCAATTCATCTCAATTTGATATGAGATTTTTTGTAAAAATTAGTATCAAATTAAATCAAATCGTTTTTTAATAAAAAGTGGTAATGAATCAATAGCAGATTTATAATGCTATGCCCCAAATCATCTCATCGGATATATAAATTTTTTTATTATCTATTTAATTTTATATTTATATATGTATTATATTAATAAAATTATCATTTTATATCATCTTTATTTTTTTGTTTACTTTTCATATTTTGTTTCTTTTTTTTTTAAATAGGTAAATTTGATTGAATATGGATGGCAAAATAAAATATATAATTAAAAATTAATATTTAATAAACAATATATATTTATATACAATTAGAAAATAATTTATATTACAAAATAATATTTTTCATGAATGTTATACTATTAAATTTAATTTTTTGTCAAGTAAGGTTGGATGTTGGTTATACATTTATACACATACGGTAGTCGAGATCAAATATAAAAATAATAATTCAATATCATGTTGAAGTGGAACGAGCATAAATCCACCCCTAATCCACATGTTGCTATTCCTAAGTGAAAATGTTCATAGGACACTCTTATTTAACTCTTTTTTTTTTTTTTTCATTCTTGGGTCTTCTACTTCATTTGTTTTTTTAATTGTGTATTTTAATACTTTTTAACTATATGTGTAAAAATAAAATTAAAATAGCGGATATGCATTTGATTTTTATATAAATTATGAGAATAAAATATATATTATTCATAAATTAATTAATAAATTTTTATTTACCATCGCTTTTATTAAAAAATATAAATAAAATTATACCTACTAATTATTAAATTAAATATGAATATTACTTACAATAAATAAAAATTTTTATCCGCAACATTGCGTAAACAATGTTGCTAATAAGTACTAAATTCCCGTTAAAATGTTCTAAAGTATAGCACTACTTTATTTGCTTATATAAAATTAAAAAAAAAAAAAAAGAACGACTGAGAGATGATTAAGGTCGGTGGTCGGAGGTTAACTAAAAACTTGTACTTCGGAGATTTGTCTGGGTTACTTGTGGTTAAGGTAAAAAACTCACAAGATGGACCTTTGTTAACTAACCAATAACAAAAAGCCACGTATACATGTGACCTTGGAGTCTCCCTAACTTTGAACTTTCCATGACCATAATTTCAATTTTACCCTTCTTCCTTTCACCGCAATTTCACCGCCCTTTAACGGTAGTCACTCCCAACAATTTCCCAACTTAACAAAAACTCTCCTCCGGAGAGGCACGGATTCCATACTTTCCACTCCAAAACTTCTTTCCTACACTTAATCATTTATTCACTGTAGATGCAGCGGAAATCTCATCCCACGCGCGTTCAAGATTCTTAACTACACCCATCTGCAGGGTCTCCTTTATCCAATTCTTGCCGTTGCCCTTTTTTTTTTCTTTCAAATCCTAGCCTCTTTCATGTTTGCCTTATTTGTACAGTTTCTTACATCTGCATTTGGAAAATAGCGATCTTTGTTAACAATGGAGATTTCTCAGTGGGTCTTTGTTTTTTCGATTCTTCTCCTCTTTTTGGTTTCTGGGTCTTTCTCAATTGACAATTTTCACCAACCGTAAGTTTTTTTTTTTAAATTTATTTGTTAATATTTAAGCTTTTGCTTTATTGAATTGATTTATAGCTATTGGAGTAGTTTGGAGTTGATTAGAATATGATTTGTTAATTGTTACCTTTAAAATAAGGCACTTTTTTGCATGCTTTTGAGATCTCGGTGGCAACATTGTTGGTTTATTGGTAGTTATTGCTGCCGATTTGTTTTTTTTTTTTTTTTAAAATTTTTAAAACATAAATTTGAAGTTTTTTTTTTCTTGGATGTATTCCTGATTTAGCCTGAAACAATTGAGGTTTAACACAAGCTCTAATGATTTTACAAATTTAATATCTGTGTCAATATAACTTTACTATTGTTCTGAGAGGCAATTTTGAGCCAAGTTTGTTGACCTCTGTTTCTGCTACGTTCATTGACCAAGAGTGATGGCCGTTAGGCTTGTTCATAAAGTAGGTCAATAGTTTCCTGATTATATGGAATGTGGGTATTGGCAATTTTAATATGTAATTGCTTAGCTAGGGTAAATCATGGTAATTATCTTCTGATAAAGTGACTCTTTTGGCATTGAGATTGGGAAGTCTGGTTATAGTTAAAAGGTTTCTTGCTTAGCAGCGATGTTTTATGGTCAACCAGTTATTTTGGTTGAACTAATGCATGATTAGCTTGCTCTCTCTAGAGGTTTGGCAGTTCCTTAGTTGTCTTTAGATCACTCATTGCTTCTGGGTTCTTATTTATGATTAGTTTTAATTATGATTTTCGTCTCAGTTAGTTGGAAGTTGGAACATTATGTTGAGAATCTTGGTTTATGTGAACACTCTGAAACATCTTTTAATGTTTCTCTGCTATATACCTAAAAAATAAGGAATTATTTATGAAGATGCAAATTTTATATTGGAGAGCAAAGCAGCTTTTATAGATTATAGGATTTGTGCCATGGTAACACAACTAAAGAAGCGAAGCTATAACATGAAATCCATATAAGCGTGCTTGGATTGCATCATATCTAGATTTTGTGCTTTGTGCTTTAATGAAAAAAACAGTCATTAGATGTTTGGTCTCCAGCTCTTTCAGTAAGCATTATGCTTATGCAAAGAAGTGGCTTTTTTCCTATGAAATTTCTTGTGCTCATGATGCAGAATATTAACTTAAGATATGTTGATTCTATAGGAATATTATTTTTTCAGTTGTAAAAAGTACATGTATATGCCATTTTAGTGTGACGTTCAAATGCCTCCTTGTACCCTGATTTGAATTTAGCACTGGCCTAATAGTTGTGTATGCGTTTGCAATAACTTCACATATTATCTATAGGTCATAATGATCTTTTCTTTATCTGATGCTGGTCTCTTTTCCTTCTTCTTTCTTTTACTTAAATTTATACATATAGGTTTCTTATTGTGGAGCCTGATCCTGGTCATACAAAGCTTCGTCTTTCAAGGGAAGGCTTGGAAGCCATCAGCAGGATAGCTACCCCAATTGCAGCTGTTGCTGTAAGCTTCAGATACCCCTTCCAGACATGTAGTGTGTATTTGCAGTTTCATGATTTTGTTATGGTAACCTGACTCTAAATATCACTTGGACTCAAAATATGAATTGCTAAAGCAAATGTCTCTAACTGGGTACCTACCCCTCTCTCCCCCCACCACCCAAAACCAACCCAACAAAGAAATAAGAAAGGAATTTTCAGATACCCTTACCAGACATCTAGCATTTATTTGCTGTTTATTTGCTTTTATTCTGTAACCAGACTCTTAATATCAATTAGACTCAATGTGAAATGCTAAAGTAGGTACACCCCCTTTTCCAACCCAAGAAAGTAAGAAAGAAACAAAAAATTTGGCCATGTTATGCAAATATTTGTACGAGTGTTAGGAATTCATCCGTAGTATTATTGTTGGAATCTCTATGGGAGGTGGATTTGGGAAAATTGATGCACAAAATCATCAGTTTTGATAATTTATGGCTATCACAGTGGAAATATTTGTTACATATAAGATACAAATCCTACAATATTTACCGATTTCTTCAATGATTTCAAATACATTATTATGTGTAAAATGCTGGTTGACAATATTGGTTTGTTCCTGTAAGATAACATATCTAATTTGAAATTGCACGTAATTTACCTTTTGAGAATAATCCCTTTGGTCTTTGTTCTCCCACATTTACTCAAGTCTTGTTTGGACTTGTATATCAAGGTCATTGGTCCCTACCGCTCTGGCAAATCTTTTCTGCTGAATCAACTTCTTTCGCTGTCTTGTTATGAAGGTGCATTCTTCACTGCTCTGTGCTCCTTTGTTGTTTTCTAGACTTTGTTGTCACTTTCAACATTTTTGAAAATTTAAATGGGATCAATTTGATGACTTATTGTTAATGCTTTTTCCTGTTTATCCCTCAGGATTCGGTGTTGGACACATGCGTGACACAAAAACAAAGGGTAAGGCAGCAATGATATTACAATTATGCACAACTGTTACATTGGTGATGTTTACACTTTATCTCTACCAGGTATTTGGGTTTGGGGAACTCCACTAGAATTGGATATTGATGGAGTAAGAACTTCTGTTTTCTACCTTGATACTGAGGGTTTTGAAAGTGTTGGGAAATCAAATGTATATGACGATAGGTAATTCCAAACACATGTACTTCAACTTGCTTTATATAGTATATGTTTAGTTATATTGCCTTTCTGTTGTCTCTTCATGCAGGATTTTTGCTTTGGCAACTGTTATGAGTTCTGTACTAATTTATAACCTGCCCGAGACGGTTAGTTAGTTTTTTTCTATAACTTCTCCTAGTTTTTTTCTATAACTTTTCCTTGTTTTTAGATGCTTTTATTTAGAACACTGACATATTAGGAAGCTGAAAAGTCTAGTTTTCTACCCGTATTGTTCAAGATAAATACCGTGAAGCTAAATGTTTCTTGAGACGTAAAATTAGGACAACAGCATTATGCATTAAATTATTGTTTTGACAAAAATTGAGTAAAAATTTGTCTTACTTTAGGGCACTATATATATATGAAGGTTGGTTTTGCTAGATATTAAATATTATTTAGGTGTGAGATTCTTGTGGTTAAGATATGTTTGATTCTTACAACAGAAAAGTGTTTTGGGTTTGATAAATTGAAAATTGGCTTATCTGCATGAAATACTTTTAAATAGAAAAATGTCTTTCAATATACGAAAATCTTAAATGCCGATTTCTTCTCTGCTTGGCTAAAATTAAAGTGCTATCCAGGTGTCTTATAAGGCTTGTCTTATTGTACATTTATATAAGTGGTACCGTGAATTCTAGCATTTAAGGTCTTCATTTAGCATCGCAGAGGTTGTGGATTCGTGGGTCAAAAGTCTTGAAGCCCAGAATCAGTAGTTGCCTTTGATGGGTTGATTTTTTATTGATACTCTTGTTTGTGCTATTCTATCATTAGATCCGTGAAGCTGACATATCTCGGCTGTCATTTGCTGTTGAGCTTGCTGAAGAATTTTATGGAAGGTTTTCTCTTCTGCCATGTACTGAATTGAAAGTATTATCAATTTATTACATACACTGAGCAAACTTGGTGCTATTTTACTTTTTAATGCCTGTTAATGTGGACAATAACTTCTCTTGTGGGTTTCTTTTGACAAATATTTCTTGGAGAATAGAGTGAAGGTAATATATGACCCCCTACAATGTTTGTCATATTTATGCTTGTGCAATGAGGTTGATTTGCTGTGGAGATTCATGACTCACTGAATTTCTTGTAGGGGCAAGACGTTGCTTTTGAACCTGCCAAACTTTTGTGGCTTATCCAGCGTGATTTTCTGCGTAAGTTCATAATTGCCTTCCAGCATGTGATTTATGAAGTGTCATAAGGCCCTGCAACTTTAAATGTCAATGTATCTTCAACATGCTTGCTTATATGGTGCTGCCTGTAATATTATAGCTGCGACAGGGTTATCCCTTTCTAGCTTCTATTCTGCATCAAATTCTTGTTTATTTTTTGTTCTTGGATCCATTCACTATACTCCTAAGCTTCTTTTAAAATGCTGTGGAAGAGATGGTTCTAAGTTTCTGATGTGGGAGACATTCTTTTCTGGGTGCATCTCTTTTATATTTTTCTGCAATTTAGATGGAATTTTTTTATTGTTGAGTTAAGAAGAGGGGATTTGAACTCAATTCTTTCTTTTTGGAGGTAAAGTGTGTGGCTACCATTAGGCTATTGCCTCTGCCCACAATTCAGAGGCAATTCACTGACATTTTTCTTGTTTTATACAGAAGGGAAATCAGTGAAAGAAATGGTGGATGAGGCACTTAGACATGTCCCTAACATTGATGGTTAGTTTGCTTGGTCATGCTTAATTGTTGGATGGATGTTTATTTATGTTAATCTTGCTTTGTTTTTGCGATGAACTTATTACAGTGTGTGACTTTTGTATCTTCAGGGGACAAAAATATTGGTCAGGTATTCCTTCCATGACTTCACTTGTAGGCTATCACTAGACTAAAGTTATTCTTGGATCAGAATTTCACAGTTCTTTGAACTTTATCAGGTTAACCATATCCGGGACTCCTTAGCCATAATGGGTGAAAACAGCACGGCATTTAGCCTACCACAAGTATGAGTTTCAAATATGTATTTTTTTTAACTCATATATTACCTTGGCTTTTCCCCCTTCTCCCTTTCTTGTTGCTGTTGTCATTCTGAACAGAAACATGAATGAATACTTGATGTGTGTGATGTAACCTTTGTTGAACATGAATTGATTCGATACCATGTATCTACGTAGACCTTTTACAAGTCATGGCTATGGAATGTATTTTGTTTTATTTGGTGGTACAGAAGGCAAAGACATATTTGTTCATGCAGTGAGATTTAGGATGATGGAAGGCATATATGCTTTTGCTTATATGTTGATTTGCTGTCAATATATGTTATTTGTTGGAAAATAAATAAAGTATTGTTAAGATCTAAACCTCTATAGTATCTAATTGCTCAAAATTTGAACTTACAGCCTCATCTCATGCGGACAAAGCTTTGTGATCTGAAGGATGATGACCTTGATCCTATGTATGTTAAGAAAAGAGAGCAACTGAAAGAGCTTGTAGCTAGTGTTATACACCCAAAAGTTGTGCAGGGCAAGCATTTAAATGGAAATGAGTTTGTTTCATTCCTGGGGCAGGTTAGTTTATGTTCACATTCTCATTCCTGGATAAGATGGGGTTTACAAAATTTGGGAATTCTTGAATTAGTTATTGTTCGGAATGGTGATTGATTGATGTCCAAAACTTAGCGATATTAATATGCATTTGTATTTGTAATCTTATAGATACTCGAAGCTTTGAATAAAGGGGAGATCCCATCAACAGGCTCTCTTGTAGAGGTTTTCAATAAAGGTATTCTTGAGCGATGTTTGAAGCTATACAGTGAAAGGATGGGAAAATTAGGTTTACCTATGCACAAACAATCCTTACAAGATGCCCATGGAAGGTTGCGAGAGGAAGCAATGAAGGCATTTGATGAACAACATTTTGGCCGTCACCATGCAAAGAGATCTGCCATGCAACTGGATGAAGAAATGAAGGAGGTATAGATTGGCATTTGAAGGGGCATTACCCTTTTCTTTTATTTTATCAATTCATATATTTAAATATTTTGACCTGAGGCATTCAAATTCTTGGTTCTTTTTACCAATATTTGAAATTCTTGTTTAACAGTTGGAGAAGGAGATTTTATAAGTTGGGAAATAAGTGGGAAACTTAAATACACCCATATGAGAAGTTTCTCTAGTAGATATCACATTTATCTTTTGTGAAGTTTCTTGAGTTTTCTAAAGTTCATATTACATTGGGAAATCCAGCTAGGGGTTACTCAGATTTCAGCTATTTTATCAATTGCTACTGCAAACAAGCAGAAAACTTATACAAAGACATTTTTGCGGTTAATTATTTATGCCGGGCATGTTCTTATATCTGATATAAATGTCAATCCGTGGTTTTAAAAGTAATAAGTCCTACTCTTAAATATGTTTTGTATGTAGTCTGATCTAGTAGACTACAAGCTATTGTAATTCTCATGTCCTTTATGCGGAAAATTTTGTCTAGGTATATAAAAATGTCATTATGGCAAATGAATATCAGTCCTCTAGGCTCTGTGAGGCACTTTATACCCGATGTGAAGACAGAATGGACCAGCTTCAAGTTCTCAGACTTCCTTCTATGGCAAAATTTAATGCAGGTTTCCTGCAATGTAACCAAAGCTTTGAGCAGGAGTGCATTGGGCCTTCAAAAGCAAACTACGAGCAACGGATGATGAAGGTAATCAGGAGTCTTTGCAGTTCTTTTGCCAATTTCTTTTTCCTTATGAAATGTTATTTTCCTTATGTTGCAATATTGGGTGGGACAGATGGAGTTCCATTCAATTTAATTGATTAAGAGTGATAGAGAACATTTTGAAATGATTCGGAGTCAATTTAATGCTTGAATTAATGAAGCTTAAGTACTTTTGGTCTTTGAAGGTGGAGCTGAAACCAAAATAATTTCAATAAAAATAAACACTATGATTTTGAAGGAATTTTGGGTAAGAAGGGGGCAAGAACATTTTTAAAATTCCACTTGCCTCTTAAACGGAGACGATATATTTATGGTGCTTTGTAATTGAATAATTCCTATTGTTTGCATTGCAGAAATGTCTTGCTAAATAATATGTTTTTTGAACATGCCATTTATTTTGCAGATGATGGGAAAGTCACGTTCTCTGTTTATCAAGGAATACAATCAAAGGCTCTTCAATTGGTTGGTGGCTTTCTCCCTTGTCATGGTGGTGGTTGGCCGGTTTATCATGAAGTTCATTTTGATTGAAATGGCAGCATGGATACTATTTATATTCTTAGAGACATACACAAGGATGTTCTGGTCAGCAGAGTCTCTTTTCTACAACCCTGTGTGGCATTTTATTGTAGCCACTTGGGAAACTCTTGTCTACAGTCCCATCCTTGATTTGGACAGGTAATATAGCACTTTCCATTGCATCTCCAATCAAACTTGCTTGTTACTGTAACTACTCGGCCGTGCATTCTTACAAGAAGTGTGTCAAAATGACCCATGTTTGTTTCGTATCATTCTGATCTGGAGTTGTAACGAAATATGTTATATACTGTTCCTTCTCTCTTTCCCTTATCATGTTTATTTGTTTTGGCAGATGGGCGATTCCCATTGGTTGTATATTGGCACTATGGATACTTTATTGGCGGTGTTACGGGAGAAGAAAACATGGGTCACGTTGGCTTTTACCCATGTACAATAGTCATAAAGGTGGCTCAAATAGACCAAGATCAGATTAATGGAGAAGTGTCTGTGCCATTTGGTATGCTTTTAATCAATCATCTTGGGCGAGCTTTTCCCTTTTTTTTTAACATATGAAAGGCCGCCAATCAATTATCTGAGATTGTCAAAGACGGGACAAAGTCAGAAGATGATCAGCCGGCCACACTTATATAGTATCTTTACTGTACCATTTTTATTAATATAATCTGATGATTTGTTTAATAGTTTCAGCTTTCCTCTTCTTGTTTTGCACAGAACAATCCCTTGTCATTTCCTTATGTATTGTAGAAGTAGCCAGAAAAGCATCATCATGACATCATTTAAATGCCCTCAGATGGGCAGGTGAAAATAAAACATGGAACATGGAAAAGTTTGGGATGAAATGCCAAATTAATCATTGAACAAATAGTCCATGTACTACATATTTCTATCATTAACCCTAAAAATAAACACTGAATTTAGTTATATGATGAAGGTGCCGACGAAAAACATAAAAAAAAAAGGTGAATTGAATTAGAATATGACTATAGTTTCCCCCACAATTCATACTGGAGTTCATAGCGATTGAGCTTCGATATGATGTTGGGTGTTGGGTTAATTCAATTTTTATGTGCAGGTTAGACCGAAAACTCTTTTTTTGCAGGCCCATTAAGAATTTATTTTAGGCTCAAAATCATTAATGATGGTGCAAAATCCAACCTTGGCCCAAATTTATTTTATTTTACCCATCTTTTTGGGCTCACTTTAATTACCCATTCATTACGAATTAGAGAACAGCAAACGCCGACGCACGCAACCGGCAAGGTTGGAACTGAGAATAACCATCTAATTTCCATGTTTTCTCTGCCCTTTACGAAGCAGTAGTGAACAAAAAAAAAAAAATCCTAATTGACATCGAGTTAACTCAGTCCGAGTTTGCAGAGATGGATTCGCACTTAACCGCACCGAACCGCTCTCGCAGCTCCCAGACCCCATCCCCGTCTCACTCTGCCTCCGCCTCTGCCACCTCCTCCCTCCACAAGCGCAAACTCGCCGCGGCGGCGTCTGAGGACCACGCTCCCCCTTCCTCGTTCCCCCCGTCTTCCTTCTCAGCCGACACTCGCGACGGCGCTTTGACCTCCAATGATGACCTCGAGAGTATCTCCGCTCGCGGCGCTGACTCCGATTCTGATGCTGACGACTCAGAGGACGCCGTCGTCGATGATGACGAGGACGACTTTGACCACGACAACGATTCCTCCATCCGCGCTTTCACCGCCGCTCGCCTCGATTCCGGCTCCGACTCGGCTCGGAACACGAAGCTCAAGACCGAGAATTCTACAGTTAAGATTGAGAATGCGGATGGAGGAAAAGACGGTGGAGCCCCTCGGTCGGGGTCGGTTGTGCCCACGGGGGCTGCCGCAGCCGGTGGAAGCTCAATTGCGGGGATTTCGACAAAGGAAGACGTTAAGATATATACTGAGAATATACAGACTAGTGGTGCTTATATTGCTAGAGAAGAGAACTTGAAAAGAGAGGTAAAGTTTTCAACTTCATTGAATTTCATTGATAAAACCTAAATTTACTTTCTATGTTCTAATAGGTTGTTTTTCTTGTGAATTATGGTATATAATTACAAAAAAAAAAAAAAAAAAACAATTTACAGGAGCAAGCGGGAAGACTCAAGTTTGTTTGCTATTCAAACGATGGTGTTGATGAGCACATGGTTTGGTATCTAATTCTCCTTTGCTTTAGTTATTTACTAGCCTTTGATTGACTATGGGTAGGGTGTTTCAGTTTTGGCTTCCCGCAGCTCACCATAACCTCCATTCGTGCACTGATGATTGAAATATTTATGCTTTTTTTTTTTTTTTTTTTGGTTTCTAAGGCTGATTGGATTGAAGAATATTTTTGGAAGGCAACTACCCAACATGCCGAAAGAGTACATTGTTCGTCTTGTGATGGACAGGTATGGGGATAGAAAATTAGTAAGTCTTAAATGGGAAACCTCACTTTAGCATGCACTTCTTATTAGTTGGGTCAAACGTTTAGACATCTTTATATATGAGTTGCTGGTTGATATTTTGGTGCACATGACATAAGGTCAATGTTTATTCACCTACTGCTTCTAGCTGGGTTATATGCTTTTTTAATTAGATAACCTTCAAGATGTATAGATCAGCTGTTGTGCATTTTGAGATCTCATTATGCTTCTTGCTTTGGATTTTGTAGAAGCCATAAGTCTGTGATGGTTATCAGACGTAATCAGGTCGTTGGTGGCATCACGTATCGCCCATATGTCAGGTTAAATTTACATTCATGTATCCTTTGCATTCCTGCTCTTATGTTATTGTCAGTCAATCAATTTTCTGCTTTTTATGCAGTATATTTTCCTCTTTGGTTCCTTTCTTCTTTGCTAAATTTTTTGTTTTAGTTTGTGTTTTCTAAATATTGAGTTTTACTTCGGTTTTACAGTAAAAAGAAATTTGAGATTCTGAAGGGAATGACTTAATCACTGCATGGCTGTGTGTTCAATCTCATTCAACAGTTTCAGAGCAACTCATAACTTTTATTTATTCATTCATTCTGCTGCTTGAGATTTTTTTTTTTATGATGTTAATGCTTCATTTGTTCTCTTCACTGATACTTGTTTTCCTAGTAAATATCAGCCAAAAGTTTGGGGAAATAGCTTTTTGTGCAATTACCGCAGATGAACAAGTAAAAGGTTATGGCACCAGACTGATGAATCATTTAAAACAGCATGCTCGAGATGTTGATGGACTAACACATTTTCTGACATATGCTGACAATAATGCTGTTGGCTATTTTATCAAACAGGTCTGATCATGTTCTTTTCTTGTGATTGTCCAGCTGTATTGTTTTTCATTTTTTCTGTAGCATAAATTTACAGCACTAAAGCATTTTTCTTCCTGAGATACATCATATGAATGCCTGCGGCAGACTTCTTTTAGTAAGAAAATTAGGTTAAAAAATACAAAACAGAAAAGATTTAGGAAGCTTTCAAGTGGATTGATCAATCCAGCTGGAATGAAATTGTAAAATATTTTGCGAATACATTAAATATGAATTGGTTGAAGGTTTTTTATGGTTCTGTTCTGTCACACCTGGCCGATGGGATAAAAATCTTCCATGCAAATAACCTTTTAAGATATAGCAAAAGAATTATGATTTTTGTAGTAAGTAATTTGCTAGGTTTGGGCTATTATTATTTATAGTCATCATCTGAATTGAATAAATTTGGTTTTAAGTGACTTGTTAATTTATCAACTTGCAGGGTTTTACCAAAGAGATTCACTTGGAGAAGGATCGATGGCGAGGGTATGGTTAATGTGCAACCTCACCCTTTTGTTTTTCTTTTCTACCCCCACCCTTACATCTCAAGGCCACTTAGTTTATGCTATTACTAAGGAATCAAGGAGTGAAAGAAACTTTTTACTATATGTGATTTTGAGTGTTGGAATGCAGAGGATGTATGCTTTCCAGTAAAATTGAAAAATGGGATATTTTGAGAACTAAAATTAAAGGATCCTTATTGTAGTACTGTGATTTTTTTTTTCTTTTCTTTTTCTTCGGGGGTGGGGGGAATTTTTTTATCTAACCTTGTAATGGTATCCTTTCTTTGCTCAATTCTTTGTTAATATGTCCTTGCTATCTTTCTATGCTGTGTGTAAATATTTCTTTACTTTTCTAGGTATATTAAAGACTATGATGGAGGTATTCTTATGGAATGTAAAATTGATCCAAAGCTTCCGTATACTGATTTATCAACCATGATTCGTCGTCAGAGGCAGGTAATAATATTTGGTCAGTGGATGAACCTTTTCTTTTTCTGTTAATTATCATAACCCTCTGAAATGACCCAATTCAACTTGCGGGGTATTGTTTGATTTTGCCCTTTGGATCTTGTGATTTTGTTGGGTTCAAGGTCCTTGATAGGTAACACTGGATCTTCCCAGTGCACATCTGATGTGGGATCCATATAGGGTTGAAATCTATATCTGTCCTTGATGTCTTTGCCAGGAAGCTACATTGTCCTCACTTCTTGGTTCAAATCTGGGGAGGCCTGCAACACCGTTATCCCTGTCTACAGTCTTCTACTCCCCTTATTTTGACCTGCAGTAATACCTTGCATGCATATTAGGTCCTGGCATAGCACGTTTTGCGATGTCAATGAGGATGGATAACTGAACAATTGATGATTAGCAAAAACTGATGGAAACGGTTGTAATCAAAACTTAATATTTTAATGAAAGTTCTTTCCTTCCAGTGCATCTATCTTTTCCCCTCTCTATTCACATGTGTATTCTGACTTCATTTTGTTAAACTTTTATTAAGATATTTTTATTCTTTGCTATTTGGGATTAACAGGCAATTGATGAAAAGATTAAGGAGCTTTCAGACTGTCAAGATGTTCATGACGGAATTAATTTTCACAAGGTACACACGGATCTCATGCTGTTGCATGTTGTTAGTTTAGCTTTAATTCAGATCCAATGTTTGTTAAAAAATTACAGTTCATGTTGAAGTCTATTCTCAGCCTTGAATCATGTCAGGTGTACAATATAAAGTTTCGCATTTTTGTTTTTCATTTTAGATGTTACCCAAGGCTATCAAAGTTTTTTATTGAGGTGGTACTTGTTTTCTCAGTATTCTAGTTTTGTGTTTTCCTTTTTGTACATATATTGCATGCATGTTTATGTTTGTTCTTAAACCTGTTCACTGGGCTCTGTTTTCTTGTCACTTTATTTGTTCATTTTTCTTAATCTTCTGATGAGCAAATGAAACTGATCATTTTAAGTTATATCTAGTGAAGTGAACAAGTCTTGTACCACTTCAGTTGATCTCTAATTTTTTTAATTAAGATTATTTCATTTTTCTTACTATGCTTTCCTTTGTAATGTTTTTGTGGTTGTGTCTTTGCATATAATGTATTAATATTTCAAACAATACCTGTAATAAAAATTCATTTGATTCAGAATGAAGCTGGTATTCCAAAAGAAGTTGTCAAAGTTGAGGATATCCCTGCTTTGAGTAAGTTCTTTGGCCTCTTATTGTATCATTTAATTTCTGTTTTTGTGTTTGTTTATTCATTCTTGGCTGTTGTTGGACATGATATTAGGTAATTTGTCTGTTATTACTTGTTTTATATAAATATTATATTATGTCAAATTGTCAATACTGTATTGCGATAGTATGCATATTCCCAGTGTAATGAATTTGGGTTAATATATATTTTTCCCCATAGATAGATTTTCAATTTCCAATTAGGATGATATCTTCAGCTTATGCTTCATCTAACAACTTGCAAATTCCCTTTCTTTACGTTTGTTGGGTATATATATAAACAAAGATTGTTTCGGCATGCAGGAGATTTTAACTAACTGAATTCTAAATTTGTGGTTTATTTGATAACAGAGAAAGCCGGATGGACTCCTGATCAATGGGGCCATACACGATTTAGAGCCTTAATCATTTCCACAGACAATGCGACAAATCAGAAACATTTAACTGGTTTTATGCGCTCACTTCTAAAGGCTGGTTTCTGAACTTTTAATTGGTCCTCATCTGCATTTGATTTTCATTATTGCACTTGTGATTATGTTCAATAGTCATTATCTTGTTTAGTGGTATAGCAAATGAATGTGGTCAGGCAGTTTCTGAAAGGAGCATGCATGTGACCTTTTTCTAGCTAGCAAACACCTTTCTTGTTTCTTCAAATTCCTTTGGGATCCAATGGATTGTCTAAGATGCAGGGGAAGCTATTTTTCTGCTTACCTTTTGAAGGAAACTTTCAGGGCTCTTGTGATGGTCTAATTACAGTATAGATGTCAACAGATCGGTGTCATTTGCTTTTTCTCGGGTTAACTAGGTCCTCTACAAATGCTTGGTTTGACATTAGATGTCTATGTGGGCATCCCTTGCCATCAATTTTCACTGGATTCTAAGCAAATTGGTTTTGTTCAAGCAGTCAATGCATGACCATGTTGATGCTTGGCCATTCAAGGAGCCAGTTGATTCTCGTGATGTCCCTGATTATTATGACATCATCAAAGATCCCATGGGTAAGGTTTTATCAATTTTTTCTCCTTCCTGTGTGCCCCCTCACCTCAACCCCCCCTCCCAAAAAAAAAAAAAAAGACTCACACTCCTATAGCCTATTGTTTCCTTTTTGAAAGAACTTTAGAGAAGTGGTTTTACCATTCATTTTTTATCACATATTTGTCAGTTATACTATACATATAGCTCAATAACTACTGAAGAGGCAAGTGTTTCAGTTAAAAACGAGCCATACCTTAATGATGCATAAGTGAACCCTTGTAATGAGAATAGAGGAATAATGTGTCTAGGTTTTAAGTGAGAAAGTAGTTTACTTGGTTTTTCTTTTAGAAACTACAAGTGGTTTGACTTTGATGGCTTTGGAACTAATTTTATTTTATAATTTTCATGGTTTAAATTGGAAATCAGAATCCTGAATTTAGAGGGCCATTAACTTTTTTTCTAATAGCTTGACTGAAGTTTCAAGCTTCCATTCCAATTATTTACAGCTTAGCAAGTCATTAAAGTGCTCTGTTTGCATAAACTCCTCCTAATCATACCACCAGCCAAGCTTATTACAATTTCAGCATCATTCACATCATATCTCATGGTAACTTAAGATCCAGAGTGGAAACATTTAGATACAGCAAATTTTGTTATGCTTGACTGTATATTCTTGTAATGCAGATCTGAAGACTTTGTCGAAAAGAGTTGAATCAGAGCAATATTATGTAACACTTGAGATGTTTGTAGCTGATGTCAAGAGGATGTTTGCCAATGCACGCACGTATAATTCTCCTGATACTATATACTATAAATGTGCAACCAGGCATGATCACAATTCCCTGTGCTTATCTGTTGTAACTTTTATTTATTTTTTTCATTCGTCAGGGTTATAAATGTCATAAGGGTTATTTATTTATTTATTTGCCTTACATAATGATTTTGAGTTTAATAAAGTTGATTGCAGACTGGAAGCTCATTTCTCGGGCAAAGTTCAATCAGGTCTCCAATCTTACACCAAAATTCAGTAGTGAGAACTGGAATGCATGTTCATACACTTGTGTCCTTCAATATGGGGAGATTCAGATTTCAGTGATTCTAGCCGTCCAATTTGAAGAACATGTAACATTAGTCTTCACAATCTCGTCTATCGTGTGCAGATTTACTCTGGGGAAATTCCGACGTGTCCACCTTGTATGTTTTAAATGTGATGTATGTATCATGTCTGGATGCATAATTTAATAGATTACTAATCGGGATTGAACATGGATAAACAGCACATCATAATTTAGAGAAAGTGCCATGGTATAAATTAGATAAGGATATCATTTTATTCTAATTTAGATGTTTGGAATTCCTTGATCATTTATTTTCCTAGTTATATGCTTATAATCATTTGGCCTGGCTGAGTCAGTTCTGAGAAAGGCTCCAACCAACCAGATTGAGCTCATAATGACGGCTCTATCTTGTCTATCGATTGATTCAGTTTTGTTTTTATTTCAAAAGAATTCGAAGAAAAAAAAAAAAAAAAAAAAACAAGGGAAGGGAATTGTGAGAGATGAAAATCATATTTCAGCTTTACAAAAATTCACTTCTTAATGGAGGCGGGTAAATTTTGGCTTACGAAAATTCACTTTGTAAGTGAGATGTGTGAACTATTTTGATTAAATAAATTTCATATCCATTGATTGATTCAGTTGATCAAAGGAAATTGCTGTTACACTTACCAAACTATTTTGGTAAATTGCAGCCGACAACCCCACTTTTAGTTAACAGTGTTTGAAAACTTTTTGTTCATGGTTTCTCATAATGCATAAGCATATATGGTTAAACCTAAAAGATAGCACCTACGGATGTTTGAAAGCACTTTATTCAATGATTGAAATGCCATCGTCGACTGGAGTTTACAGCATTTGCATTGCAATCTCATTTCTCGGAGGCTAAAACATGCTTGCAGTGACCAATATACCCAGGATAATCTAATTCATTGTCAATTGCCTGCGGTTATCTCGTTGTGCAGGACTGTCTGTCAAAAACGAGTAACCATTCTCAATGGTCCAACTTTAACAGCTGAAGTGGGGTACAACAGCAGATTAGCTCCTTAAGCACCTGGATCTGAATTTTAAACAGAATTATTTACCAAAAGTGTATACTCAAGGAACCGAGAAGTAGTCATGTTATTGATGAAGATCTTAAATGCAAAAATGCAGTGAGAATCAATACCCATGAATAGATTTAACCGATGGTAGTACCACCAGCGAAGCCTCCGAAACCCTCTCAGTAAACAAGAGGAAGGGCACTACTATTCAACTTTGCTTGTTTTTGGCAGCAGCATGGGATAGTCCTGGCTCCCAGCCAGGCATGGGCACGCATGATCTCATAGCAGGGCCGATCTGCTTTTGCATGCCACTGTGCCCTATCTGATCTTGCATGCGCTCCAAGCTGGGTGTATGCTGCAATGCAGATGTTTCATTGACATTTTTCACTCCTACTTCGATTTGTGGATTCACAATAGGAGTAACCAGGGTGTTGCCCTCGAAACTGTTGTCCAGTCCATTATGATGCAAGGGAGAAGCAATGCTAGGAACTGGTTGGTGAAAAAAATGATCAGCAGCAGCTGTAGATGCTTCCAATGGGCTGCTAACAAAAGGCATACCTGCATTAGGTACATTGGGCCTAGATAGAAGAACAGGGTTAATCCCCGTCACCTGCTTAACTGTTTCTTCAGCCATTTTCACCTGAAATTTTCAAATAGAATAATCAACCTGACGACCCAGAAATAAAGTTGCACCAATCATAATCACTAGTGATTTATAGCAAGTAAAATAGTTAAAGAACTATAATCACTCTAGAGGCAGTTTCAGGCATAAAGATGCATAATTGTGTTTCGCAGTTGGTAACAGTCCAAACACTGATATTAGCATCCGATGTCCAACAATATAACCTCAGTGCATAACAAAAGAGATCATGTCAGTATCCATTGTATAAATTTAGACAGACATACAAATCATGAATTATTTTAAGTATATGAATGGTTGAACACACCATAGAAGTGACAGTATGTCGGTACTGGACATATCCAGCAGATCCCTAAAATGGAGCACACACAAATCGCCAATAACCAAATTAATCTCCCTTCCCCAAGAGAATTTCTGCAAATATATTCTGCAAGCATGTTTACGATTAAATCCTTAATCATAGATGAAGGAAAAGGAATTGCCGATGGCTTTTCAAAATTTGACACTGACTAACCGCAAACTTCACGGTATCACAACAATATATTCTCGTCATTTATTTGGAAGTAAGTTTTCAAGTTATCCATATATTAACTAACTGCAAAATAACTGGACCAGGATAAGAAAATGCAAATTAGACAACGGTGATGGTTTACCTTTGCTCTTAACGTCTCGATATCAGCCTTCAGAATTCTATTGTCAACAGCAGCTTCATCATACTTGTGATTCATGTCAGTTAGATGCTTAAGTAATGTGGAATGTTCAACTCTTAGTTGACCAACCTAGAAAAAATCACTTACAGGATAAAAAATGACAATAAAACAGAGTGCATGAGACCATCAAGGGGAAGGGGGAATGATGTGGCAAAACCTGCACTTCAAGTTCATTCATATGCGCTTGCTTTCTTCTTCTCAAGCGCCTGGCTGATTCTCGATTTGACAGAATTCTGAGCCATCATCATAGTACCAATTAGTTGAAGGCAATTTTGTAATTGCATCAGCAAATTAAAAATTTAGTAAGAATTTAATAATCCACAAATCTGGTAGTGAGACAGGTGATTAATGGTAAGAATGTTTGTGTTTTTGAACAATATATTGATTTTTTTTAAATAGAAAAAGAAATCAAAGGAAAAAAAACTCCATATTCATTGAAAAACATGGATCCCCAAGCCAAGTGCTGGGATTAATTTTTGACAAGGAACATAGTATTTTGTTGATTAAGCGTATAGAATCATCCGCTCAAGTTCTATTTGAAAAATAAATATTTTACTCTTTTCAAGATAACAAATTAGTTCTTATAGCTATTACTTAAAAGAGAAGATACATGTCTTTAATTAGGACAAAGAAAAAGAAAAGGATGGCAAAACATATTAAGAAAAAGTGAATAAAGAACAGAACAAATAACATTTTGAATCCCTCAAACCAATCAATAATACAAAACAAAAATAGAAAACTTTATTACCTCCTTGCACGTCTTGCATCAGCGGGATCCATGTTGTCAGTGATTTCAGTAGCTCCTTCAAGTTCATCATCATCTGAATCTTCTCTTGATGACCCACTTGCAGTTTGCCTCACTTGTATCCCTGATTTTTTTTGTTTAGTTGAAACAGCCAAATTACCACAAGGTGCAGCATCAGGTTCACCCTGTCCCTGTGCCTTTGAGGAACCTACAATAGTAGAATTTGAATTAAAAAGAAAAATCAGCAAGATTCAATATATGTTAGTTATTGGAAGAGAACCAAATTAATGCATGAAGAGATCTAAACTTCTTTCGCAAATTGTTTACTGTTTAGATCTTAAAAATGTAGATAAAAAGTTGGAAGGAAAAGGAGAAGCGAAGAAAAATGAAATATAAACAGGGCAATGTTACTTGTCTCTTTTGAATGGCTACATAAAGTTTATGGGAAACTAATAAATTTATCAAATCTAGTAAAGCAAATTAATTCCATTTTTATATATCCCTCCTTTTTTTTTTTCTCATTTTCCTTTCCTTCACTCTTTCAACACAAGCATTTGCACTTCGTGAAAACGTGGACTAAAATCTATGATTAGGCATAATCATGCATAATATATGCAGGATGGCTCCAACGACAGCAAATTAAAACAAAGATTTCCTACAGTTCACCAAGAAGCCAAACAATCATTGTTGGAGTTAACTTTAGAAGAATCCAACCTACAGAAACATTCATGTCATTCATTCTGCCACTAGCTGACCCCAACAAATCAGACTAGATGAACTACATTCAATTCAACACCATATAGACTTGTCCTAGTACATCAAGGGGCCGACTGCCATATAGAAAGTAAATCAATGGTTGCAAGTTGCAACCTCCTATTGCAATGACACAAGCTTATAAACAAGACACTACTAATGACACAAGCTTATAAACAAGACACTACTAATCACCCAAGATAAAAACATAGTGGCCAATCCACATGCAATCCAACCCTGTTGAATTGCAGTAAGTCAGACGCCTTCATCAGTTCCCCAAAATACAAGTACCACTAACAAGAAAATGAGCACATGTTTGACACAAACCACAACTCTCTTTGCATCAGAAACACTTTACACATGTCTATTATTAATTGACTTAAACTCCCATCCAATCTAACTCCTGATCAGGAATAAAAGGTGCCCGTCTGAATTGACTCGAAATTGGCTCCATAAAATTTGCCAAGTTGAAAGACAATATATCAAAAATGAAAATTGAAAGAGATGATAAATTCCCTAAAACCCATTTGCAGAGTTGCGGAAACCGTATGCTGATCTTACCTTATAAAGAAAAAAAAGGTTTCCCGAGGATTGCATTTAAATGTGGTCAAATAGATGTCAACAAATAAGAATATAAAAACGTAGACGTTCGCTCCTCAGTCTAAAAAAGTTCTATCAATTGCATTAGAGACAAAAAAAAAAAGTCTAAAGACTCGGATTTATTTATAAAAAAAAAAATCAAATCAGAGGCACGCTATGGTAAAAGCTAACCTTGAACTTCGGATCCCGATTGAAGCGCTTGATTTTCGGCTCGGGCAGACGAATCCTCTGCCTTCACAGCCGACGTGTCACGGACTAAGCTTTCTCTCAACAAGCACTAGCCCGCGAGGCACTTGAATGGACGCTTCCACCCAAGTCAGCCCTCAATAGATCGAGATCTGAACAAATAACCATAAACCATGGTTAGTCTCAAGCATTCACAATAAGGCACTATATATCAATATCAATCTCATCCATACACACAACAAGGCACATTCACATCGAGAAAGAAAAGAAACACATCGAGGCAACAATCGGGCATTCAATCGAGGCACATATCATTAAAATTGGGAATCATACATCGGGACCTCCCACCATCACCAGGGCCAGGGGGGCAGCCCATGGTGGGTGGCCTAAGCTCGCATAGCACCCGGTGAGACAGCCCAACAATACCCTGCCGGCTCACCCCCCCCTTAAAGAGCCTTAGAGATTTTAGAGCTATGCTACCAGTAACCGTTACAATGTTTGAAATGGGGACACTTTTCCTAACACAAGGGGTCTACCCGGCCATGGCCCTATACATGGGTGGCTCATGGCAACCTAAGTCCCGGTCATGGCCTTATACAAGGTTGGCTCATGACATCCTCCCCCACCTATTCTAACGACGTCCTCGTCGACTTGCTGGCTTGAAATTCTTCGATCTTCCTTTGAAATCTCTGGAGGTCGTGCTCTCTCTCCCAGCTGGTTTCTTCTAGGCCTAGTCCCTCCCACTTTACTAAGTACTCCCGAACTAGTCTTCGAGATATCTTGGTTTCCCTGTCAGCTAAGATCTCTTGGACTCGACGCTCTGAAGGTGGTTTCATGGTGATGGCGGCTCTGGTTGGCTCTCTTCGACCAGCATCTGTAGGATCTGCATGGAATGGCTTCAAGTTGCTCACATGAAATACTGGGTGCACCTTCATCCACTTTGGAGGGTCGATTTTGTAGGAAGCATTCCCCACCTTGGAAAGGACCCTTACTGGACCTTCGTACTTGCGCACCAATCTGCGATCTCTCTTCCTCAAGAACCTGGTTTGTTCAGGGACTAATCGAACAAGAACCAAATCCCCAACTTGAAATTGCTGAGCTCTACGACCCTTGTCTGCCCATTTCTTCATCCGTTTTGACGCTTTCTCTAAGTAGGCTTGTGCGATCTCCGTGTTTAGTTTCCATTCCTTGCTGAGGTTGAATGCTCTGGGATTCTTTCCTCCATATTGTTCCAAGGAAGTGTGGGGTAGCCTTGGTAATTGTCCGGTGATCACCTCAAATGGGCTCTTGTTGGTGGAAGAGCTCTTGTTGGAATTAAAACAGAGTTGAGCAATGTCCAATAATGAGGGCCAGTTCTTTTGGTTGGCGTGGACAAAATGCCTCAAGTATTCCTCTAACAATCCATTGAACCGTTCTGTTTGGCCATCAGTTTGAGGGTGATAGCTCGAGGAGATGTTGAGTTGGGACCCCAAAATCTTGAAAAGTTCTCTCCAAAAGGACCCTGTGAATCTAGGATCTCTATCACTGACAATGTTTTGGGGAGGCCCCAATACTTGACCACATGTTTGAACAATAGTCGAGCTGTGTCCTCCGCTGTACAGTACTTGGGAGCAGGAATGAATGTGGCATACTTAGAGAACCGATCAATCACCACCAAGATAGCTCCAAGATCGCCAACCTTGGGTAGGCTCGAGATGAAATCGAGGGAGATGCTTTCCCACGGTTTGGTAGGTACCGATAAAGGTTCAAGCATACCTGCAGGTTTCCTCTTCTCGACTTTGTCTTGTTGGCAAATGAGGCAAGTCTTCGTATATTCCATCACATCTTGTCGCATTTGAGGCCAATAATAACCTTGTTTCAATAACGCCAACGTGCGCTGCCAGCCCGGATGTCCCGCCCATGGGGTGTCATGACACTCCCTCATCAGCATCTGTCTCAGACCTCCTGCTCTTGGCACAAAGACTCGAGGTCCCTTGGTCCACAAGACCCCATTTTCTTTCCAGAAATGTTTGGACTTCCCTTCTTCCACTAGCTTCAAAATGGCACAGGCTTGCGGGTCTTTCCCTAAATGGTCTCCAATCAACTTATGGATGTCTGTAGTGGCTCTGCTAGCCACCATTGGGGCCATTCTTCTGAGGGCCGCTAACTCTGGCCGCCTGCTCAAGGCATCCGCCACTTGATTAGTCTTCCCCGCGGTATGCTCAAAATAAAAGTCGAACTCAGCTAAAAATTCCTGCCATCTAGCTTGTTTCGCCGTGAGTCTTGGTTGGGTGAGGAAGTGGCTAACGGCTGTGTTGTCTGTCTTCACGACAAAGTGCGCACCCAACAAGTAATGCCGCCAAGTCCTCAAGCAATGAACCACCGCAAGGAGCTCTTTCTCCTGGGCTGTGTATTTCCTTTCAGCTTCGCTCAGCTTCCTACTTTCGAATGCTACCGGGTGATGTTGTTGTAAAAGCACACCTCCAATAGCAAAATCCGATGCATCCGTCTGGACTTCAAAAGGCTTTCCAATATCGGGAAGAGCTAAGATGGGATCCTTCATAATAGCATCCTTCAATCCCTCAAAGGCCTCCTGGCACTCGTTCGTCCAACACCATTTATGTTCCTTCTTCAGTAGCTCCGTGAGGGCCGTGGTCTTACGAGAGTACCCTTCCACAAACCTTCTATAATAGTTGGCTAGTCCCAAAAGGAGCGGAGCTCACTAACATTCTTCGGTATCGTCCACTCTTTGATGGCCCTGACTTTTTCCATGTCCATTCGGATGTGGCCACGTTCGACAATGTGACCGAGAAAATGGATTTGGGTCTGAGCGAATGCACACTTCTCCCTTTTTACATATAACTGATGGTCCTGTAACCTTTGAAATACCTGGCGCAGGTGTTTTTGATGTTCTTCCAACGTGGAGCTATACACCACTATATCATCTAAATAAATGACTACAAACTTGTCTAGGTAGTCATGAAACACCTGATTCATCAATGTACAAAATGTGGCAGGAGCATTGGTTAGTCCAAAAGGCATCACAAGGAATTCAAATGCACCATACCGTGTTACACAGGTGGTCTTCGGCTCATCTCCCTCGAGGATTCTGACCTGATGGTATCCCGATCTCAGGTCCAGTTTGGAGAAGTATTTGGCCCCGCTCAATTGATCAAACAAGTCTGCTATGAGCGGGATAGGATATTTGTTTCTTACGGTGACTTTGTTCAAAGCCCTGTAGTCGACACATAAGCGCAAGCTACCATCATGCTTTTTCTGGAATAGCACTGGCGCTCCGAAAGGAGCCTTTGATGGTCGGATGAACCCGGCTTGTAGAAGCTCATCCAACTGTTTTCTCAGCTCGGCCAACTCTGGCGGGGCCATGCGATAGGGGGCTCTAGCAGGGGTTTTGCCCCTGGGAGTAGCTCAATTTCGTGGTCTACTGCTCGGCGAGGGGGTAGAACCTTGGGCAACATCTCTGGGCATCACCTCTTTGAATTCTTCTAACACTTTCTTCACGCCATTGGGTATTGTTCTACTTCGACCCTTCTTGTAGATCGGCATGGCCACAAAAGAGGTTCCCCTCTCTTTACCCCTTTCTTGGAATTGCAAAGCCGAAATCATTTTTCTTCCCACTCTTTGGCAAGATATTGGCTGGCACCACACATGGGTGTTCTCCTAAGAACAACAAGCAGCTAGCAGCGGGGATAGGGATCACCTGAGCCAACGTCATGAAGTCCAATCCTAGAACGACATCAAAGTCATCCATGGGGAGACTGTGAAGTCTACCTTCCCTCCCATGGCCCCAATTGGGTCGTCACACTTTTCGAGCTTCACTGATTGCAAAGGCTGGCGAATTGACCGCCTTCATTCGCCCACAGTCTTTACCAATCTGAAGACCACACCTTTTTGCTTCTTCTTGGTGTGATGAAAGTGTCGGTGCGCCTGTATCCACCATAGCCTTGGTGGTTTTTCCCATTGATCGTCAAGTTCACGTACATCAAGCCTCTGCTTTGCTCTTTCTTTATAGTGTTCAATTGGGTGTGAAGGGCACTGAGGAACCTTATTGAGCCCATCCTGGCTGGCTCCTCTTCAGCTTCTTCAACGCTCTCGGGCACTTTTGCAGACTCTTGGGATGAGGTCCTTAAGGCATTAAGGGCTCCTCGGTGCGGGCACTCAGCCACTCGATGCGGCCCCTTGCAAAGAAAGCAAGCAAGCGGTTGCCTAGGCTTGAAGATCCCTGCGTTGTTTGTCCTAGGCTGGATGCTATCTCGCCCAAAGGACTTCCTGTCTGATCCCCAACTGAAGGGTCGGTCCAACCTAGTTATCTTTCCCCCACTCCCAAGATTAGAGCTACTACCCGGTGGTGGAGGGTTCTTCCGTTTTAACGAACCATCATTAAAATCATGAAGACGTTCCGCTGCAGCCATGGCCGTCGTCACATCTTGCACTCTTTGCCTCTGTAGCTCTGTCCTCGCCCATGGCTTGAGGCCCTCAATAAAATGGAATAACTTGTCCTTCTCGGACATGTCCCTAATATCCAGTATCAGGGTAGAAAAGTTCCTCACGAACTCTCGCACCGTTCCGGTTTGCACCAACTCTCGAAGTCTCCTTCGAGCCATATAATCCACATTCTCCGGAAAAAACTGGTTTTTCAGTTCACGCTTCAGATCTGTCCAGGTCTTAATCGGGCACTCGTCATCGACAAACTTGGAGCGCCACCACAACTTGGCATCCCCTACGAGATACATCGATGCCATTGTCACCTTGTCTTCCTCTGAACTTGTGTGTACAGCTCGGAAGTATTGTTCCATGTCGAACAGGAAATTCTCAAGTTCCTTAGCATCCCTTGCCCCCTCAAAGCACCGAGGCTCCGGTACTTTGGGCCTTTGTCCCCTGTCCGTCGAGCTTGAACTCGAACTGGCCACCGCCATTTGTAGGATGCTCATCTGGGCCCTGAGCTCCTCAAACTCCTTGTGGAGTATGTTCAAGGCATCTCTAGCCTCTTCGCTCACATTGTGGAGAGTATCGGACAACTCCCGCTGGGTTGTCTCGATCTCCCTCACTCGGTCTTTTGTTACCATATGAGTTTTCATTGCGGCCACCGCGGCCTCAAGTTCCTCAATTCTCTGCCGATGATCCGGTCCACCACTTGTGGCCATCTCATCCATTTCTCTAGCACTTCTCAACCGTGCTCTGATACCACGTGTCACGGACTAAGCTTTCTCTCAACAAGCACTAGCCCGCGAGGCACTTGAATGGACGCTTCCACCCAAGTCAGCCCTCAATAGATCGAGATCTGAACAAATAACCATAAACCATGGTTAGTCTCAAGCATTCACAATAAGGCACTATATATCAATATCAATCTCATCCATACACACAACAAGGCACATTCACATCGAGAAAGAAAAGAAACACATCGAGGCAACAATCGGGCATTCAATCGAGGCACATATCATTAAAATTGGGAATCATACATCGGGACCTCCCACCATCACCAGGGCCAGGGGGGCAGCCCATGGTGGGTGGCCTAAGCTCGCATAGCACCCGGTGAGACAGCCCAACAATACCCTGCCGGCTCACCCCCCCCTAAAGAGCCTTAGAGATTTTAGAGCTATGCTACCAGTAACCGTTACAATGTTTGAAATGGGGACACTTTTCCTAACACAAGGGGTCTACCCGGCCATGGCCCTATACATGGGTGGCTCATGGCAACCTAAGTCCCGGTCATGGCCTTATACAAGGTTGGCTCATGACACGACGCCTGAATGATTTTTTGCAGATTACATTTCAGATTTTTTTTTTTTGGAAAAAAAAATTCCTGATATTACTTGTATTATTAAATAATAATAATTTCAATTGGAAAATGGAGATTGGAGAGAGAAATACACGAGAGAGAGCAACAGCAGCGCAGGCTTGATCGAGCTTGCTCTTGAGGATCACTCGGTACTCATCCGAGTCAATCGGAATTGTCGATGTCGGAACAGACGGCAAAGGATTATGATTCTGATTATTAGGCTTTTTGATCTCCACCACCTCACCATTCCCGTAACCTAATTCAGCTTTCGAAACGGACGGCTGAGGTGTCGCCAAGGACGTACAAATCACATTCTCGCCCGCACCAGAAAATTCTTCTAGATACCTCTCCAAAGCCCACTCCGATTGGCTTCGGCTCATCCAGTCAGAAGCCGGAGCTGCCCAGAATGGGTCAGAGAAATCGTCAACTGAGAACACATAATTCATCGTTTTCAGTGATATCTCTTTCTTCCTCTCTCGGCACTTAGCAATTTGCCTTTATGTTTTTCTTCCCTAGCAAACCGAAAATATCCTCCGCTTTGCTGTCTACAAAACAATCCACTAGGAGTCCGCCGGGTGGATAATTCCGAAGAATTTGAGCACGTGTTACTTTATTAGTGGGTGGTGAGGGTGGCTATCGCTGGAATATGAAACACGTGATTTTGTGAAGTTAAGACTTACGTGTGGCCTGGTCTGTGGGCTAAGACCTAAAGAGAGGGGGCGAGGCGGTGCCGCGGTGCCGATGAAAATTGTACGAATTCGGGACAAGTGTGAACTCGGGCCCACTGGTTGGGGACTTTGTTTGGCCAAAACAGTGTGATCAATTGGATTCTCGATCCGTCACTGGATAGACAATAGACCGGGTTCCATACTAAGGAATTTGCTGTACGGCGTAACACGTCACCTCTCATTTCCCAATATCTTAAGGAACTAGCTTTTTTAACCCCACGGGATTTTTTATTAAATTTTTTATAATTTTAAATTTATTTTTTAATTATTGATCTAATATATAAACATACATTTATAAATGTTAAATTATAATTAAATGATCATTTATACATAATATATTATAAATTATATTATTTATATAAAAAGTATAAACTTTGTAAATTTTTAAAAATTATAAAAATCTTTTTTTGATAAAAAAATATTTTTTTCAATTCATTTGCTAAATACTAAAAATCTTACTACCATTTTTTCTTATTTGATAAAAAATCAATAATTAATATTCAAATGGTTAAGAGTAATAATTATTTTTATCATAATGGTGATTGTGTATATATATATTTGATTGAACAACAAATTATAATTATTAATTTGATCATAATCATTTTGTTCTTATTTTTTACATACTTTAAGTTATTATCATATAAATATATTGGGCTAATAATTATTTTTATAAATGTTAATAAAATAAAGTTAATTTTTAGATAAAAGGGAAACAATGATTATTTTTTTATGTTTAAAAATCTTTCTTTTGAAATATTTTTTAGTTTTAATCATTTTTAACATAATTGATAGTATTTTTTATGGGTTAGATATGGTAATGATAATTATTCTTCTCATACAATCAATTGCAGATAAATAAATTCAATAATAAAAAATATAACAAAATAAAATAGATAATATAAGTTTATATATTCATTTGTTAAGACTAAAGATATATAATAATAATTACGAATATGTTAATAAATTAATGGAGAAAAAATCGAATAAATGAATAAATAATAATAATAATAATAATAGTGAATTACAATCAATTTTAGGAAAATTTAAAAAAGATATTGACTAAAGAGAAACAAATAAATTAACAAAATATATAATATATAAATATTTGAATTGGAACATAAATAAAATATTATATTTGTTTTCAAAATAAAAACATATTTTTATTTAATTTTTTTATCAATATTCAAATGTCTTATATTTTCATATAAATATATAAGCTCTTATTACTTTAAAAATACATGCTTCTAGTCAATAATCTATTAACTTATCTAAAAGTATTAAATTTAATAATTTATTAAATAATTTGTAATTTTTATTTTGATTTGAATTTAAATAATTATCTAAAAATCATTAAATTTAAATAATTTATTAAATATAATTATTTGATAGAAAATAAAATTTTATTAAGTATATATATTTGGAACTATTACTAAATAAAAAAATAAATTATGATTTAATATATTTGAATTTAAATTTTATACAAAAATGTTTATCTCATATAGATTTTGATTTCAGTTTGAATAATTATTCAGATTATTCAATTTAAATAATTTATTAAAAATTAATTTGATAAATAAAATAATATAAATATTATCTTATATGTCATTGAAAAATATTATTCACTTAAGCATCTACATAAGCAAATTTTATAACGTAATATTATATGTTGTAATAATATATATATATATATATATTAGATTAAGAAAGTACATTTATTGTACTTTTTATGAATATTGTACTTTTAATAATCGTAAATATTCAGAAAAAAAAAGTTAAAGACATTGAATTATAGTGAAATTCATCTTCAATTAAAATTTGAATTTATTAATTAATAATAATATTTTAAGAAATTTTTATACATCATGTATTATTATTTAAAATTAATCATATTAAAAATAAATATCATATTAATTAATATAATTATAATATTACAATAAATATTTAATTATAATTTAAAAATCATTTATAACATTAATCTGATAAAAATTAATGAAAATAGTAATAAGTGTTTAATGATATCTCGATATATTAAAAGAAATTATTCAATGTATATAAATATTTGTTTATCGAAATTTTAATAATTATATATTCCTAATAATTTACTAATTGTACTTTTTTATAAGAATTATCAGTTATTATTAATCCTATTGTAGATTTACAATGATAAAAATTAACTTTACTAAAATAATGAAAAATTTTTACATTTTACTCTTTACTTAGATAAATCTTTTATATTTTTATTGTATTAAAATAAAATTTTGATTTGTATTCAAATAAATTTTTTATTTTTATTATAAACTTTTAATTTATATATAAATACAAATTTAACATAAATAAATATTTCATTTAAAATAATGACTTATTTGAATATAAATCAAGAATAATTCCTTATTTAAGTATAATAAAAATATAAAAAACTTTACTTAAAAGGTGTAATAATAATTTTTTAAAAATATTTTAATCAATCAATTTATAACAGGCAACAGTTCTCAGATTTAATTTGCTTGGACTTTCTTTTTCTTGCATATTCCTTATTTTATTCTCTTTGAGAACAAAATTAATGTTATATTTGCCCAATTTTGGAATGTAAGTACTTATAGTTTAATTTTTGACTTGAGGATAAAATTAGGAATGTAATGAATTTAATAAAGGGAGGAATGATTAAATGGTAGTAATATTGGTAGATTTATTGTTTTTGTTTACAACATGATAGAAAATTACATGAGATTGGATAATTGCATAAGCAGTTTCTTTTTGGCGAGACAATATGAAACTAAAAGTAAAATATTATACTGTACGTTGTTTTATATATCTATAATAACAATATTTTTGGATTTTATATACAGAGTTAATATTATGAATTATTTTTAAATTATAATAAAATATTAATATATGATATTTAAAATTTATAAATTTTTAATGTAATATTTGAACTATAAATATATTAAATAATGTAATATTTAAAAAATTATTTGTTTATTACGTATTATTATTTTAAGTTAATCACATAAAGAATTAAGTCACACTAGAAACGATTATTATATCAATTAAAAATTTATAATTCACATATCACATTAAAAATTTTTAAAATTTTTATATCATATTAAACATTTTATTATAATTTAAGAATCCGTCGTCATATCAACATTTATAATACATTAAAAAGAAAAACTACAAATCAATACCTTAAAAAAATCATTAGTAATATACAAGTTCTATTTCAATTCATTATTTTAAAATTTAATTTTTAACTTTTTTTAAATATTCAAAATTAATTCATTTTATCAATTAATTTTAAATATTCAATAAAATATGTCATATTACTTTCGACATAAAATTTAACATATAAATTTAATAAGTACATTGTTTTTATCATGTGAATATCTATATTTAAAAATGATTAATAAAATTAATATAATTTAATATAATTTTAAAAGATTGTAAATAAAAATTAAATATTATACAAATATGGATACAATTTCTATTTAAATTTGGACATAAATAAACTACAACATTAGTTCATCTTTAGAGGAGCCTTTTAGCTTAGGAGAAATAGGGAAACAAGCCAAACATATTTTTAACTGCCCTAATTTTCACGCGAAAATCCAGGACAATTTATTGGAAAGAAAAAAAAAAAGATTTTGAGGAGAGAAGAACGCTGTCGTTTTAATGGGTGATGTGTCTGTAGTCAAAATCAGAGCGTTTCGATTCAACGTGTTAGAATCATCTGGTAAATTTCTATTAGCATTCAACTAGCCTCAGCATATTCGTGTAAATCTTCAAATCGAACGCCGAAAGTAGGAGTAGGCGATCCATCAGAGAAAGGTAGATTTCTTTGTCTTATCATATTTGATCCAAAATCTAAAACAGGAGGCCGTAGCTTTTAAGCCATCTTTATGTGCGCCCGCCCTTGATTTATTTATTTATTTTTGGTTATCGTGATTTTTTAGTTCAAAAATTTATCAGAGGCCAACAGAGCTCAAATCCCCACTAGCAACTCAGCTCTTATTGCAATGATTGCCGACGAGGTGAGTATTACTTTTGAATCTGCCTAAATCAGTACACAGATCTCCCCCACTTTTGACATTTTTGTGTCGTTTTATTGCATTTTCCCCTATAAATTTACGTGTCATTCTTCTTGAATTAGCTCTGCATCGCCTGAATTTTTATGTCAATCAGATGTAAAAATTTTGGTAAAGATTTAATTTGGGTTTTTTTTTTAAATGAATTATTTAAATTAACTAACTGAAGCATCTATTGTGTGAATTGGTAGAAAATACTTTTATAAGTTTGATGCATGTTTTTCTTACTAATCCATGCTAGCCGATCGAAAACTCAGCTTAGTCTGTTGTTTTTTATGAGGGTGAAATGTGGATACCATTCAGATTTAGCTCTATGATGAATGATCATAAGACCATAAATTTCGTGGCGCATTTTGCATTTTCTGAATGATTGTGGTATGTTATAGGAAAAGTTTACTCATTGCTGTACGGTTTTATGAATTCTTATTTATTTGGGCATTTACCATGTTTCCTCATTTTGTTAATAGACCATAGCAAGAATAAGATTGTGTTTATGGCATGATTTCATGAGTATAAAGTGCTGCAAATGTTGTTAATATGATAGTTAATGTCATTACATGTGATTGGCAATGCATTTGATTTGACTTGTCTGATTCATAATTTATTGGGCTAGGACACGGTGGTTGGGTTTCTGCTTGCTGGTGTGGGTAATGTTGAATTGTTGAGAAAGACAAATTATCTTATTGTGGACTCAAGTATGCTCTTTAAATTTTTGTGTTTTATTACTGCTATTTGAAAAGTTTGCCTTTTTACGTATGGTCTTGATCAAACTCTTGTCAACATTTTATAGTTGCTTTTTGATATTTTATTCACTCATTGAATATAAAGGTTCGCCAGTTATTTACTTTCTCTGAATCACCTTAGGTTACCTGAATTAGCAATTTATGTTCAGCTTGACTGTGGTTTATCTTCTATCTAGTTAAAGAGTGGAAGAACACGATCTCGATACTCAATAAGGAAACATGCCATTTAGGATTGTTTAAACTAAAAGTATGCCTTTTGATACTTATTTTGGATCAATGTAACTACATGTTTTGTTACATATTTGTTATTACATGCAATCATAGTCGAAATATGTTCTCAGAACTTATGATTTCATGTCATTTTGCCTTCTGAACTTTTAGGTGTCTTGGTTTTAAATTTTCTTTCTGGAGTGGTGACACATGTGCTTGTCCCTGTTCCTGTTGAAATAATTATTAGTTAGCTTGGTAAAAATAGATAATTCATAGGGAAGTACAAATATGGTCTGTCTCTCAAAAGACAGTTTTCTCCATTTTACGTCTTACATCATTTGCATTATTTGTGTGTCAACTAGGAAAATGAAGTTGTTATCCATTTTCCAGGAAATGTCCTTTCATTTGGTCGCAATAGAGGGGAGGGAAACTAGAAAAGGAAAGATAATGCATAGTGCTCTAACTATTGGGATCAGTATAAATATCAGATTTTTACTCCCCTTAGCTCTATCTTGGTTTGGTTTTTCTGTAAATAAATCATCTCGACCGGTTATTTTCACTATCAAATTAAATATCATCAGCGTCACTATCCATCACTCAATGCTTTTTGATTTTGCCTTTTAGAAACCACCGTTAAACAAATTGAAGATGCATTTAAGGAGTTCACAGCAAGGGAGGATATTGCTGTTGTGCTGATTAGCCAATATGTAAGTTTTTTGCTGCATATGTTGTTGTAAAACATCAATTGTTATGCTGTTTTTATGCAAATACTATATGTTTGTTAAGCTGTATTATGCACAGAAAAGTTGTAATGTGTGGCTGAGGAGAGCTATGAAATGCTAACAAGCACAGATCTTGTAGCATCTTTTGCTTCCATCATCAGCATCATTAAGTCACGCTCACATCGCTCCTTAGAAGTCAGTGTTGGTCAATTATCTGTGAAGTGTGATCGTATATCACCTTCTGGTCAAAGAAATGTTTACTAGATTCAGTAACGAAGTGCATTGTTTGAGTGATTATCTGTGCTAACTTTTCATCACATGATCAATGACAACCAAAGAGACTAGCAAATGGTAATACAGATGATGAGATTGATCAAATACCAAATATGCCATTTGATAAAATGCCTTTGTAAAATTTGGTGAGCATCTAAACTTCTTCGTGACAACTATGAGTCTACTTCATATTTTCCCTATTATTTAGTTCAGCATGGAAATTTTGTTTATTGATCATTTGTTGCTAAATAGAAGCCAATCATGTGGGTGCTGCCTAGGGATGAAAAGAGATTTAGTATTATAGGTTTTGTGCAAACCTCCTATATATTTCAGTGCATCGACAGTATCTTGAACTCCAGTGTTAAAATTGGCAAGACAGGTTGTCTTGTCTCATCTTGCATGCTCTTACTGTTATTTTGATGAATTTCCCTTTTGCTTTGGTGGCTCCATCCTGTTCTGATGTTGGCTACTAGCTAGTTAAGATTAACCAAAGGTCTTGTCTTCTGAATCTCTAACTTCCATAGTTTCATCTGTAATGATACCAATTCAGACACAAGTATAGAACTTCTATTTGAATTGCATTCTCAACTCAAGTTCGGTATGCTAATTTAAGCTGCAATCCTCCATCCTTTTAATTGCAGGTCGCAAATATGATAAGGTTTCTGGTGGATAGCTATAACAAGCCTGTTCCAGCAATTTTGGAGATTCCATCCAAGGATCATCTATATGATCCTGCACATGATTCTGTTCTTTCACGAGTTAAATACCTCTTCTCTGCAGAATCAGTGGCATCTGGGAGGCGTTAAATGCAGATATACACTTATGACTTCTCTATCTCATCATGTGTCTATTTCCTTCGGTAATTGTATAATATGACTTAAATTATTCTTTCCAGAGAGTTGCAAACGGTTCTCTTCATAATTTCTGAGTTACATATGCAACTTCTATTTGGAGATATGTTTTGATGGCCTTTTGAATTGATTAAATGATGTTTGAAGAAACTGCTGGAGTTGGGAGTTGTCATCATGCAACAGTTGTTACTTTTTAATGTAACGATGGTTTGATTGAAATGCCCTTTTTTTTTGGCCGGATTGGGATAGGAGGTTGGAAGACTGGTAGAAGGAAAAATTGATTCATAAATTAAACCACCAGAGTGTCAGAAGATGCTAACACCTTTGTATGAAAGCTTCAAATCATGTGGAATAGAGTAAGCGAAGCTACCTATTAAATTGCTTTAACTCGTTTTATGCTTTTATTGTATATGAAAAACCAGTTCCTGTACTTCTGTTGTAGGCTTGTATCAGGCTATCCTACTTGCTTTCGATAAATGAACATTTTAAATTATCCAAAACAATATATATATATATATATATATATATATATATATATATATACATATAAATTGATGGGATGGCGGGACTATTTGATAAGCGTAGGGCAACCTTAAAATTTGTTTGATCTTTGGCTTTCAAAATTTTTAAAGCATGAAAAATTACGAGTCAACAGGATACAACTAGATTCTTCTGGTGGAAGATGAAGCCAAAGGAAGGAATTGAGTGGTGGTTTGCAGAAATTTCCAGAATGCTAAAGTTCTTCAACAGGATACAATTAGATTCTTCTCAAGTTTGGTGACTCCCTTTCCCAGTTCTAACCTTGGTGCCCTACTGCTGGATGTTGAACTCTTTTTTGTTTAAGAACATGACTTTATATTCAACAGTTTTCATCAAAGATTAAAGCCCAAAAAGCCCACCATAGACCCATTTTAGATACGGGATCCCTCGGCTTTCGACGCTGCCTGCAAGAGATAACTTTGACCGATGACAGCAAAAGTAAATAAGCTGACCGAGGGCGACATACACAATCACAACAAACTTCCATCTTACGAAAGCTTTCCCCGGCGCCTGCTGAATATATACTGAATCAGCGAGTGCCTTCCCCAATCCCCGAGGGCCAGAGCAAAAAGGACAAACCCATTTGATTCTCCTTAGCATTAGTCGGAGTAAATCCTCCTAATCCTTTCTTTCCCTATCTCTTCCAAAAAGCCCAAAAATAGGGTTTCGAAAACCTTAACTCTACCATAGCCCCCAAATCCGACCTCTTTTTCGTCGCTTTCTCCTTCAGACAGATTAGGGATTTTAATTAAAAATATATTTACAAATCTCCTGTTCTTGTTTTTGTTCCTGATTTCCAGCTACAATGGCGGAGCACTTGGCCTCAATCTTCGGTACGGAGAAGGACCGTGTTAATTGTCCCTTCTATTTCAAGATTGGAGCATGCCGGCATGGGGATAGGTGCTCACGGCTCCACAACCGGCCGACGATCTCCCCAACCCTCTTGCTGTCGAACATGTACCAGCGCCCGGATATGATCACCCCTGGAGTGGATGCCCAGGGCCAGCCCATCGACCCCCGTAGGATCCAGGAGCACTTCGAGGACTTCTACGAGGACATCTTCGAGGAGCTAGGCAAGTTCGGTGAAATCGAGAGCCTCAACGTCTGTGACAACCTTGCCGACCACATGATCGGAAACGTGTATGTTCAGTTCAGGGAGGAGGACCAGGCAGCTGCCGCCCTCCAGGCACTTCAAGGAAGGTTCTACTCCGGTCGGCCTATCATTGCGGATTTTTCCCCAGTCACTGATTTCCGCGAAGCCACTTGTCGGCAATTCGAGGAGAATAACTGTAACCGTGGGGGTTACTGTAATTTTATGCATGTCAAGGTAATTGGGAGGGAGTTGAGAAGGAAGTTGTTTGGGAGGTACCGCAGGTTTAAAAGGAGTCGGAGTAGGAGCAGGAGCGCCAGTCCACGCCACAAGCGTGATAGGGAGTTTAGGGACCGCGATCGCGACCGTGACCGTGATGATCATCGTGATAGGAATGGGCGAAGACCTGACAGGTCTGACCGTGACAGCGGTGGTAGGAGAAAGCATGGGAGTCCTAGGCGAAGCAGAAGCCCTCCACCTGCGAGGGAAGGGAGTGAGGAGCGGAGAGCCAGGATTGAACAATGGAATCGAGAGAGGGAAGAGAAGGTGTAAGAAAAGCTTATTCGGTTATGGTCTATATTTTCATTTTTTCCCTTTTGGTAATTATTTCTATTTCTAGGTTCAGATCATGTTTTTGTTATGTTGCTGCAACTTGGATTGAACGTAAGTCTTCACTTTGAGGGATGAGTGGTACCATTTTTAGCTGTTACAATGATCATTTTCTCATAGTGTCAGTTTTAAAGGGAGTACTTGTATCTCTGTTGAATAGTTTCCTTTACTTTTAGTCCATGGTTAAAGCTTCAAGCTACTTTCTTCTCACCTTTATCTCGGATTACTAAGGTATTCATTCCACCTTTTTATTTACTAATAATTTTGTTAATTAAATCCTCTGTTTTAGGCAGATTCTAAATTCCTTGCTTTACTTTATGTTCGACTTGTAAACGTGCTTTAGGCTGTTTGTATTTTAGTGCTTTTGGTGGGAAAGAGCTATTGCTTTGCTAGCTCAGTCTCACTCGTACTGCCCTACAAAGAATCAATCGTTCTGAACAATTTTTTTCCTTTGCCAATTATAGCTTATCACTAATTATCAATTATAATTAAAAGCTTTGCTTGACGCATTTTAACTTGTGAATTGGCTTGAGGCTGTGTGTTGTTTACTGTAAATGTGTTGTAGACTGCTTTTGGTGGGGAAGAGCTGCCAGTATGTTTACACACTCACTGTTCTTGCTGTTCATGTATTTCTTCGTATTAATTTGTGTTGCTATGAATGTAATTATTGCCATGGAATATCCAGGGAAGACACCTTCTTGGGCAAAATTCTAAAACCATTTTCATTTGTCAAAAATTTCCCTAGAAGATCATGAATTATGCCTCTGGTGGCTGCGCCTCTCCTATATAAGTTATATTATAGAGAAACTTCCCTTTTTGGCCATTTTATTAGTTTACTCTTTGTGGAAATTGCATTTTTTTTCTCTCGTTTCCTTCTCGTGTAGTTTCTCCCTTGATTCTCTTTCACCTTCTCAAGATTCAATGGTATGGCTTTTCAATTTGTTGCTTGAGAATGATTCAGACCAATGTTAAGCAAACTCTGACTGAATTGTTATACTTTCTTTTGAATACATTTCCCTCATGCTAAACGTTCTTACCCAAGCATTATGTGACAGCTCAATGCTACTGTGTAAAAATTCTTCATAATTTGTTATTCTTTTACTTTAGAGGAAAAAGAGAGTTTCTTGTCTTTTAAAACTTAAACTAGAATGAGATATGGTGTTACACAATGTGTTTCTTCAACTGTTACTTTGTTTATTGGTACAATTAAGTTAGTATTATGATGTGCTTAATAATGTGTTGTGCTTAATAATGTGTTGCTTCTGTGGGAGCAAGAGTGATCTAATATCTTCATTTCCTGTCCCTGGAGTTTGTAGGTCTGCTCTCAGCTCCTTGATTTTTGTCAGAATTACAGCCAGGTTAGTTATCAAATCAGACATTCCATTTCCCCTCTAGTTAGACAAATGCATTTCAGCATAGAGATGCCTTAATTGAACTTCATTAGTTTCTTTTCTTCCATTTTCCCCATTCTTTTACTGTGGGATATAATCTACCGCTTCCAATCATGCAAGATAGTAAGGTTTTGCAACTCCCGCCGCCACGGCAGACTTAAAGAATATCTATTTCATGAATCTTTGCCACATCATTCTCATCTGTGAATGGTATTAGCTTTGATTAGCGGAGTTGGGATGGTTTCACCGGGTTTCAAACGGTGCAGTAGCTCCAATTAAGAATATGATGGATGAACCGGTTCAGATATTTCCCATCAGAGATATACCTTGTATCCCCACGGCAATGATAGGTTACTCAATGATTTAACTTTGAAAAAGATAAAAATGCAATCAAGATATTATGATATTGCAAAACAAAGATTCAACATTATTTCAATCAAAACCATTATGGAGAAAATGTTTCAAGTCTGATTTAATTCCATAAAATCGTCAAGGAAGTGCAGATTTCAAGGATTTGGTAAAAATTTCTAGCTACTTCAATCCTTCTCTAGGAGACTTTGCTTCAACCAGCAGCTTCACCATGGCACTGCCAACAATCACACCATCGGCTCCCCATCCTGCTACCTGTCTCGATTTACGTAATAAGAATCTACATAGAAGCAAAAGCATGCTAATACTTTGGTATCAAGTTGCATGTTCTAAAGACCAACCTGCTTCATATGCTCGGGTTTTGATATGCCAAAGCCAACTGCAACAGGCTTTGTTGTTGCCTGTCATAGAAAAATTAAAGCATCAGATGCAACTACAAGAACTCAGATCATCAAAATCTATAATTCCCTTGACTTAAAGGTTCAGGCATGTTTTAGAATCATGTCCGAGCATTTTAGTAATGAAACACACTGATCAAGAAATATCTCATGTCTTTAGAATCTACATAAAATGAACTGACTTGTAATCGCAGTCCTGAAAATTTCAGTGAAGTAAATTGATCATGTAAAATAATAAGGAAACAGAATCTCTTAAAGTTTGTTAATTTGTTGCGTAACTTCGAAAGACATTTATAATGACTTTGAAAAATGCACCAATCACAGCTCAATTTAATTATATACCAAGGAGAAGTCCAGAATGATTACACATATATACAACTAGGACTGACACAGACAGAACATGCTAGTTTAGTAATTTGAAATGCTAATTAGTCATATAGGAACTCAGCTTGTTAAGACAAACCTCCTTAACTTCCCTTAAAAGAGTCCGAACCCTATTGCTTACAGATGCACGGGCACCAGTAACTCCGATTGAGCTCACCTGAAATTTCAGCAGATAAGGAAATATCAACATGGTTGTTCAAATCTTAACAAAATTCAATCCTTCTTTGTCATACAACTTAACATAAAAGAGCTGATAAAACATTGAAGACAAAGAAAGTAATTAAGGAAAATAACATGACAAAAGAGTCATCAACTTTGGAAGAGGATCTTACAAGATACACAAATCCTTCTGATGCTTCAACAATAGCTTTCATTCGGTCTGTCGGCGTAGTCGGTGTTGTAAGCAGTACCTTAACCACACAAGCAGAGAAATCAAATTAGATTCACTATATGCATTTATCACAGAAAAAAAAAAAAAAAGCATGGCTTGTGGCATCTAAATGTAGTAATGGAAAATAACACTTGGGGTTGCAAAAATAAATGAGTTCCTATGATTTAATAGCAAATTGGTTCCTAATGTTGCCTTCAAATATCCAATTCTGCAGGAATATCCATTTGATCAACACCATGGGCTAGTAGTAAAGCCAGCTTGAAAGTTAAAAAAGTGAACAATAGAAAGCAAATTCATTTTCATCTTTCCCCTGATTTTTAAAGTTTGTTACATTTCCAGAATATTTATTCTGAAAATGCAAGGAAAGTGCATTTTGGAGATTGATGGAGAGTTTGTAATTTACTGTGCAAATGATTTAGTGTATATCTCATAAAAGTAACTAACCAAAAAAATATTTTAAGGGAAATAGGATCACGCTATTGCATTGAATTAAAGGGCTTAAACAAAGCGTATCATGGTTGAAAAACCTAATTGAGATTGCAAAGAAGTTAAAGGGGAGAAGAGCATTCTTATAGAGGATCCCACCAATTCGATCATATTTTTTAGAGCTTCTTGTCTCAAAATTTCAGTCTCCTCTAGAGGGACATCCGAAACTATCAGCCCTGCAAATATTTATGGAATTATTGAGGTAAGAACATTATATAGATGTTGGGATTCTTGTAGGAAATAAGAGTATAAAACATACAACCTATGAATCTCCAGAATGACAAAAACTTTAAGTGATAGATATTAGTCCTATATTTTGGATTGGATAAGAGAATCGTAAGATAGAAACAAAGCCAGCACAGGCAACAACATATTTCAAATTTGTTTTTCTTAATAAAAGCCTAATAATTTAAAAAAGAAAACATGGACATATCAGAATAAAGCAATATGCAAAACCTAGAATTTACATTTTCATATTGACTCAGGTCATGGAGAATAGTAGAATAGTATAGAAATTCTAAAACGATTAAGCAAAGCAAAACAAGTCAATTACCATGTATGCCTATGTCCTTTACAGTGGACATAAACTTCTCAACTCCACGCTTCAGAATTGGGTTGTAATACGTAAATAAAGCAATTGGACAAGATAATTGTGGAACCACCTGTACAACTTACAAGTACATAATTAGAATTTAACCCCCAATTTAGGAAGCAAACAGTTTATGAAGTCACAAATAGATATCCTGCAAAATTTTTGTTTCTGCAGTTACTTAGATCTATGCGCATGGATGTAACAAACACGCTCATCCAAATGAAAACAAGAAAAATCAAGGATCTTACTGACGATGAAAGGTAATGCATAGGTTCTTGTCATTGAAAGGGTAGCAAGCTCAATGCTCTAAATAAATAGCATATGAGCAATGAGTAGAGCATCAATAACCAACTTATCACAAAAATCAAAATGTCTGGGATATTTTTTATTTTGTTCCAGTCTGGGGTGAAAAATATAATAAGCAATCTTTTGTGCAAAAAAAAAAAAAGTTATGATACTCATTTACCCTGAGGAAAAACAGTGGCTGCACTGAAATCAACAATTCCATGCTGTAAAAACTAACAATATCTAAGAGTTGAGTTTTCTAATAGAGCAGATGGGAGTGAAAATTGCTTTTAATGTAGGTGCTTCCTCTTTTTCATTTGTTGATAGACAGAGGCCAATGCACTGGACACTAGTCCTACCTCTTTCAACATTGAAAGAATAGCATTGAAGTTGGTTCCTCTTGCCAAAGAACGCGTAGCTGCAGCCTAAACAAAAGAAACATCACTGAGAGACTTGAAATATAAATAAATAAATAGACAAACAACCGCACTCTTAACAGACCTGGATTACAGGACCATCAGCCAGAGGATCAGAATATGGCACACCCAGTTCAATTATGTCCGAGCCACATGAGTCAAGCACCTTTAGTGCCTCCGCTGTTGTTGAAAGATCAGGATCACCAGCTGTGATATATGGGATGAAAGCAACCTTCAGAAGTAGGGATGCTTATTAGACAGCATTGGAGAGAGTGATAAGATTGTAAATTAACTTTAAAAGTATGTTAGTTAGGTTATACTTTCTAGAAAGTTTTATACGGAGCCATTGTATGTTAATAAGATTTTTCTTCAAAAAGTTTCATTCTTTCTCGATAATGTTTTCTTGAATTTTCAACATTAAGATAGTTTATAAATTGGTACTTAATAACTAAGGTATTTTATACTTGCAAGTACAAAGTGCACATCATCAAACAAAGGCATTTTCCATCCTTATTAAAACAACGTTAAAGAATTAACATTTTCATTTTCATTTTTTGGGTAAATATAAAGCAGTATGGGGGAGGAGTAAGATCCAAAGTGCTTATCATCGAACAAAGACATATTCCATCCTTACAAAGTAAAACAATATGAGAGAAATAATATTTCCATAAGATTGTAAAGGAATTTAAAAGTATAGTAGTTAGGTTTGAGAAAATTTTACAAAGAGGCACAGCATGTGGATAACAATTTTTTGCTCAGCAATTTCAACCTTTTGTTGTAGTTTTTTTCTTGAATTTTTAACATAATAATAATTTATAAATTGGCAATCAAAAGCTAAGGTATATAACACTCGCAAGTTGCAAGCACAAAATTCATGTCATCGAAAACAAAATGTTTTCCATCCTTTTTGAACAATATAGGGAGCTTAACATGGTAGTTTGGTTCTAGAAAGTTTTGTGAAGAGGAATCACATGTGAATAGCAACTTTGTCTTTAAAAACTTTCATCCTTTCTTGATAGTTTTTCTTGAATTTTCAACATGATAGTAGTCTATAAACTCTTAGTACTCGATAGTCTTTCGAATATAAAATTTACAATCAAACAGCCACATCCTCTTTGGTCAACAAAAAAAAAAAAAAAAGCCACATCTTCTATCCAGAATCTCAAAACCAATCTTAAAAGGCAAAGAAGGTTTATAAACAATTCTACTTGATGAAAAAAGGTCAACTAAACTCCGGCTACCTTACTCATACAAACCATAAAAATACTATAGACAACAAATAATCAGAAGAATCGATTCAACCAAGCTTGTTATCTTAACAAGCCTATGATTCTTATGATGCAGCTTCAAAAAGACATAAAACCCAAAAATATCACATACAAAAAAAAATTTGAATATAAAGTTGAAATATTTCTGCCATAATCAAACTATAATCTATTTCCTCTACTCAACTTACAGTATTAAGGGAATACCCATAAAGAAAAAAGGGGAAAAATGCTTACTTTGCCTTATTTTTTCAAGTTAGAGAAAGTGTCAGAAAGGCTAAGAGTTGGAGCGATGGTTACAGCAGCCATTGGAGTGAATCTCTTGGTTGAAACTAAGGCTTTGCCAGAGGGAAACCGAGATAGAGAATTGGTATTGCTCTTCTTTAATTGGAGCAACCCTGCCGTTGATTTCACAGCAACAGCCATTACAGACAGCGAATGTTCTATTGATAAAAGGTTTTATGATTTATTCACGCTCCTATTTTAAGCAAAATTTGCTTTCTACATTTATTTACCATTCTAAGACTTTTGGGTTGGTGGATGGATGGTTTATCTAGTTTGTTTTTCTTTATTGCTGTTATTTAATAGTTAGGAGATTTTTTTTTTTTTTTGGCTAGAGTTGTAAAATGTACTTTTTGAGTAAACATCGTAAAAATATATATTATTTTGTTATTAATCAATTATTCAAAGGTAAAAAAATTAATATTATTATAAAAAATTATGACAATTTATTAATTTATCAAATTTTTTATTTAATGAATCAAGTTTAACATTTTCCAATTTAGTGATTTTTGTTACACAATAACTACTAAATGAACTTTCATTCATTTTTTATTTACTTTATATATATATATTTAAAAATTTTAATTTATTTTATTATATATATATATATATATGAATGAAAATAATATTATGCGTCTAAACTTTTTCAAACTCACAATTTTTAAATGCTAGTTTTAATGACATGTTAACTTATTATAAAATAATCGATAATATTTTTATAATAATGATTGGTTAAATTATTCATGATTCAAATAAAAAAAAATAAAATTATGATAATGTATCCAAATCATCAATCCCCTACAATTATTTTGGAGTTTTAACAAAAATTAGTTGACACTTGGTGAATTAAGATATTTAATTAAATGTCAAGTATTATTAACAGTGAGATTTTGATTAAGTTTGTTGGGTTACAATTGTGGGATTTGTAATTAATTCATAAATATTATTTATTGATGCTTTATTTCTAATTATATAAATACGATTATTTATAAATTTAATCATTTTGTCAATTCATGTCATGCGTGAATTTAATTAATCGTGAATAAATATATTTAATATTTAACCTTATTTAAATTTAATATTTTAAATTTAGAGTCGTATCTATTTTTTAATTTGATTCATAACTATTGTTGAATAATATAAATAATCATAAATCAAATCTAAATTATATGCATATAATTATCTTAAAATTTATAGTATTTATGAATTCAATTAATTATGTAAGAATGTAGTTAATAATTAATGTAATTTAAGTTTATCATATCTATTAAAGAAAAAACCTATTATTGAATATAAATACAAAATCCAAATTATTGAATTTCGGGTCAATTTTTTTATATTTTAATTAGTTCCAAAATTATAAGTTATTATTTTGTATCACGAAAAATTGTTTTTATTTTTATTTATGTATTATTAGAGTTTTAATCGAATAATTTTATTGATTTGTTTATATTAAGTATTATTTTGTAAATATATATTATTTATTCATATAAAAAAATTGCGACATGAGCTAAGTCTGGTAATTTTGTAGTGATATTATTTATAGAAATTATAAATTTATGATCTTATTCTGATGAATAAATTCATTATATTTTTAAACTTTTTTTATTATTATATTTTGCTTTACAAAAATCCATTGAAAAATGTGAAATAGAACCTGTATAAAAAGAAATAGAGTTAAGTGAGAAGTAAGGCTGCAATTTTGGGTTTGAGTTGTATGGAATGGACCCAGATATTCTATCTAACAAGTAGTGATGTCCAATAGAAAGAGTCCATGTTTTCTCTATGGGCTCCAACAGCCCCATCAAGCCTTATTTCAATTATCAAAGTTACACCTATACGAAAAACAAAATTCACATACCTGCATTTGTTTAAGAGATAATATAATGATAGTGATAAGAGAGAGCAGAACAATTGTTTTACAAAGATAATGGTAACTGGTGACGGACTAATAATACCATGGAATAGTGATTTAGAATTTAACATAATCAAAACCTTAAATTTTTATATCCGAAAATTGTACGAAAATCCAAGTAATATTGGTCTGTCTGGCTTGTAAGATTAAATGCGGATTTGAAATGGTAGAATTTTGGATAACCAAGCAAGCTAAGCCACTAAGCTACTAAGCTACTAAGCTAGTATGAAACTGAAATCACTGTTCCCACTTCCCATTTCTCCCACAACGCACGCGCAATTGTAATTGGACGGAATTTATTAATAATATAATATATTAATAAAACACAAATTGACGCCGTTTTCGGACCACTAACTATGAAGACACGGACAAACAAACCAAGCGAACAGAAAAAAGGTTAACCACGTAATTTTGATAAACTGCAACACCTTTTACAAAAAGCGCTACATTGTTTACCACGATAAAAAGCCACTCCTTTTCGTGCTTCTTTGTCTCTCTTTTATCTTTCTCTCTCCGTTTCCCTCTGAGAGCTGAAGAACAGAGAAAAGAAAAAAAAGGCCGAGCAAAGCCAAACCTCTAAACTTTCCCCTTCTCACCGAGAGAGAAAGATTAAAGCAAGAAAAGAAAAGAAAAGAAAATACTTCGTTTTTCTTTTAATATATTTCTTCTTGTTTTAATTAATTTTGTTGGGTTCATTTCTCTTTTGGCATTTCCTTTTAGCATGTAGATGCTCTTTGGTAGCCCTAACTCGCCACTTCGACTCAATTCAAACTCACTTCCAGCACTATCTTTTCGATTTACTCATGGCTAATAACCCAAACGAGGCCCCCGCCGATGACTTCCTTGAGCAAATCCTCGGACTCCCTAACTTCGCGCCTTCTGAGACGGGCTTAGCGGGACCCGACGGTGGATTGGCTGGAACCGCTGCTGGAGCTGGAACGCCAATGATTCTGCAGCTGAGCTCCGGTGATGGGACCGGACATCTCGGCACAATCGGCGGCGGGGGAAGCGGTGCATTTCACGGACAGGTTTTTCCGTTGGGGTTGAGCTTGGACGAAGGTAAAGGCGGGTTTATGAAGCCCGAGGAAGCTTCCGGTAGCGGCAAGCGCTTTCGCGACGAGGTCGTCGACGGCAGAGCTTCGTCTGTAAAAAATGTAAGAAAAATAGTAATTTATCATTTCTTTTAATCTTTCATTTTTTTGCCCTTGTGTTTGTTTGGTTCCCGAAAGGGATAAACATATTTCTTTCAAATAGTAATTTCCTTTGGGGAACTCAAGGAACGAGCTAGTTTTTGTGGTGCTAACTAATGATAAATTTCTTATTACTTAATTACTTTTTCTTTTCCAGTAAATGGAGCGTATCTCTTTGTCTTTGTTGGATTATTTTAAGTTTTGCATTGTCAAACGTGGCGTGACAACGAATTTCTCTGTTTGATTTTTTTTAGTCATGTTTCTATGTCGTTTGTTTCTGTCTAATAGTAGAGAAGACAAGAGAAAACATGACAATTTTTGGGGCAGGGGTGGGTTGTGAGATGCCAAGTTTTGGTATTTGACAAAGGAAAGAGTACATCAAGGTCCTCCTGGGATTTTCTAGTGACATAAACTAACTGGCTGGGTAGAATTATTCAATCAAAGAAGAGTCCGATTCCACTGCTAATTAGACGCAAACCTGCATCAGCGAATAAACAAGAGATTTACTCCAAAATGAAATTTTTACTTTTCAAAGATTGAAGGACATATGGTTGAAATAAAAAAGCTCTCTAATATCTCCTATTATATTAAAATGGCTGGTAGTTGATTCCTTAATTTGTACTAAAGTCATGCTTTTCTCATATGAGTTTGGCAATCGGGTCTTGGGGTAATGGTCCATCTCAGAGAAGAAACTGGTCCTTACTAGGTTTCATGCTCCTAGCCACCAAAAATTGTAAACATCAGATATGAGTTCACTCATTTGTGGAAGGTGTCAAATTTCAGAACAGTCTCTTAATATGTTAGAAACTGTACAGAAGTTAAAATTATGACAGAAGAAAGATGGATCTGAGTTTCCTCTTGCGTATGTAATATGGATTTCAAGTATCAGTCTTGGTCAAGAAATTCTATCATCTGGAGCAATTACTTTTGTATTTTAGTTATTTATACTGTCAGTTTGTTCTACAAATTGTATGGTCTATAGTGATGTTTCTCCTTTTACCCTTTTTCCCTTCCTTGTTGAGAGGAAAGATGGGTGAGCGGGAGAGAAAAGATGGCATTGATGTTAGTGCTATCTTATTCTGTAAATTCTATCATTGCTGATATGACATATAATTTTCCAGGTTTTCCATGGCCAACCTATGCCAGCAACTGTTGCTGCAGCACCACATCCACCAGCAATGCGTCCAAGGGTGCGGGCTAGACGAGGACAGGCCACAGATCCACATAGCATTGCTGAACGGGTAAGCTTAATTATTATAAGTAATCACAGCAAACATGGGAATGACAAAATATATTGAAGATCAGTGATTGAGGTGTATGTTTCTCGCCTAGAATCAAAAGGCATGATAAGTTAGTTCCTTAGCCAGGAAAATTTTAAAAGCTAGAAATTGGATATATTGAATGGATGTTTTTAAAAAGGTGATTATTTTGATGACATCAGGTATTTGAATGAAATTGGTTTTTGATATATTATTCCATGTTGTTTGGTTAATATGCAATGTAGAAGATCAACCCACTGTGAAAAGTTATATTTGAATTTTATTGAGTATTGTGTATTTTAGCAAATTGAAAAAACAGATTAATCATTAGATGCAGGCAGTACATCATGGAGTTATAAACCATAAAAAGATAAATACTATTCTGTCTCTTTCACATATCTAGCAAAGTGAAGTCATATGCAGAAATATTGAGATATGTAGAGCCCCATATATATCATCTTTTAGGAGGGAACCTAGTAGCTGGTAAAGTTGCACTTGATTGCCACTTCTTATGTTGTGAAATTGCAAATTGAACCTGCTCAACAAATGATTGCAACTGTGACTAACCATACTGAACTGTTCAATTTTCTCCCTTGGTACAGTTGCGCAGGGAGAGAATTGCTGAAAGAATCAGAGCATTACAGGAACTTGTTCCTAGTGTTAACAAGGTCAGTTCCTTTTATTGTTTCATAAATTTACTTGTGAAATGACTTGTGTATTTCCAATATGTTTTTAGGCAATATCCAGAATGACTGCTTTTTTCTTATATTGGAAAATCCTCAAATGAATGTAGTGCTGCCGTTAGTTTAGCAGGAAAAAGATCTTTAAAGATTAATCGGTTTCTTTTTAAAGTAATATACTAAGGAGCATGCTCTTATTGACAGCGGGGAACCATAATCTATTAATGCTGTCTTTCACTGATCTTATCTGCCCCTAACGGCTGATGTGCTCCATCTTGTTGAATAACCTTGCAATAGTTTTATGACTAACCTTGTGATGTGAAAGCTTTAAAGCTGTTTTCCTTTATTATTGTTTGAGGGTTTGTCCACTTCCTTAGACTCATTTCCAAGCTAGCTTTATTGTCTGTTAGTCAAATTGTGTACAGATATTGAAAGCATTGGTGTGCTAATTTGAGAGCTAGTAACTTAATAACTTTATAGTTGACTATTATTGTTTAAGTAGCTAATTTTGAATATTATTATAGGGTTCTGTTTGAGTCATGGGTGACTTTATGGTAGATTTGTGTATTGGGAGGTAAACCATGAGAAGTTTAACTGTGCATAATGCATCTTACTTTGTTTAGTAGTGGCATGTTTCTTTGTGCAGACTGATAGAGCAGCCATGCTTGATGAAATTGTAGATTATGTGAAGTTCCTGAGGCTCCAAGTTAAGGTATCATTAACTCTTTTTACCTGTTTGATTTCGTACTTATTATTCAGACTTTTGCTTTACTGCATATTGCAGTGCTGCTCATGTCTATGGGATCAGGCTGCGATACCATATTGGATGAATGTACCTAGTAGTTTTAGAAGTTTTCTTCTATCAATATATTCGGGTCAGTGTGGTTGATTTTGCATCTGCATATTCCCATTTTTTTAACCTAAATATTGCTTTTAGTAGTTCTTCAAGTAATGAGAGTCATAAGTAGAAATTTTACTGAACATTTACATGAATTTGGAAAATGTTTTCCCTTATTATTACAGTAGAAAGTTTGGTACATGCTGTAATATCAGAAATTTTACTTCTTCAAAGGGTGAGATGACGTAGACACATTTTTTTGTGGGATTCTTCCACTTTATATTTATGGTTTATAATGGTTTGCTTATTTTAAGGAGGAAAAAAAGGAGAGAAATATATGACCATTTTCATTTGAAAAATTTTTCCCCTCATAAAAAAATGTGATTATTTAACAGGTTTTGAGCATGAGTAGGTTGGGCGGGGCTGGTGCAGTGGCACCACTTGTAACGGACATCCCACTATCATCAGTTGAGGTAATAAATAAGAAATCATTCATATGGTGGACATTTTATAATCATTTTGCTATTCATTCCGGCAATTGAGCTTCCTCTAATTATACGGCAGGATGAAAGTGGTGAGGGTGGAAGAAGCCAACCAGCATGGGAGAAATGGTCAAATGATGGCACGGAGCGACGTGTAGCTAAACTCATGGAAGAAAATGTTGGAGCTGCCATGCAATTCCTTCAATCAAAGGCTCTTTGCATCATGCCCATCTCACTGGCCACGGCAATTTACCACACGCAACCACCGGATACCTCCTCTATTGTTAAGCCAGAAACAAATCATCCTGCATAGGCCTGAAGAAGAAAAAAGGAAAAAAAAAGGGTATGCATCCCTCAGTCCATCCTGGGTCCCGCACTTTATTTGTCCTCTTCTAACCCTCCACGAAAATAAGTGGTTTGCTGTCTTCAAATTGCAATCAAAGTCAGATACCATAGCTCTTATTTTTTGGCGTTTCTTTCCAGCTTTTTTTCAAACAGGGTTTGATGTCAATGCCTAAAAAAAACAGGCAGGCCCTTGATGTATTGACAAGTTCAAAGTAAAGTTAACGAATTGTCAAAGCTCACTCGATATGCTCTTCCTTTTTGTGTCAATGGTGGGGGTAGTGGACGATGATGGAAGCACTTTTGTAGTGGGGCGCTGCTTTTTGGTCAGTGGGTCGTGGGACCTACAAAATGAAATGATGAGTATATAACTATTATATTTATTATTATAATTGTAACAGTTAATTTTCAGAGGAAAAATGGTTGGGTAGTCTTCTAAAATGTTTGTTGCTATGGTCCAAGTGATACTTGATAGTGCCTACTTTGTTTAATGGGGAGAGTGGGTTATGTTTCCAAAACTAATTTGACACCCTTTTTCAAATTCTACTGAATCATTATTGGATGTTAAATCATTCGACCGAGGGAAAAGAGGTGATTGGCGGGCGAGTGAGGGCTGGGTTGCGCCTCCAGTTGAGCTATTTTTAGTTTTTAACGGTAAACCACAAGTTCTAATCCATAACAAACCAAGGATGTTTTCAATAGAACATAATAGCCCTTGATTTCGATGACATTAAAATGGTGATATTTTTCTAAGGGTTTTGGTTTTTTTTTTTTTTTGGGTGCTTGCTGCAGTGCTTAAATCCGGTTTTTGTATCATGTATGCAGCACTAGAAAAAACTTCCGTTCTAGTAAGGCAGCATCTGTTCAAATATATTACACAGCATGCTGAACTACATCACTTTCAGTGGTGATACCAGGCAGTTGTAACTAAGAAAATCTCATGCTCCTTTCAGCTTCAAGAAACATTAAGGAATTCCAATGCCACAATTATGGCTTGATTCCATTAAAGGTTTTGTCCGAAACATTGACATCAATCATCAGGCGATAAAGCAACCTGAGTCATCTCGTAACTTGTACCAAAGTTGAAATTGGATGGAAAATTCAACAAATGTCATAGGCAGAGAATAAAAAGAAAAAAGGGTTGCTTGAGCTTAAAAACTTCAACAAGAATATATAACCCAGAGATGCCTGCCAAAGTGGCAACATCCAAGCTTTGCATTATTAGAGACAGCATTGGCATGTTAGCTTCAGCAGGCATCAAGATCTCGACATGGGGGAGGTTTTGGATCACTTAGCAAAGTGGTATTTCCACCTTCAGGTCCACTCTTGATACGTTTAGGATTTTGAGTGCCAGGCTGAGATATAGAACAGAGATTAAAACATACATTAGTGGCATCTCTATGCAAACAAAACGAATAAACTCAAACGCCCCAAGTACTGTGTGGAAAGCTTACTGGTGGCTTCTCTCCCCTTCTTAACATCTCAACTATCTCAACAACTCGTTGTGGAGAAACATCTTCCTGCATTGTTAAACACAAAATGCACAAATCAAATTCCACTAGGTTTTATCAATTGTGCACACTGTATTGTGGTAAATAGGGCAAGTTGAAAGGACTTCTCATGAAACCCACATAGTAATCATACGTATATCCTTCAGATCCATTTAAGTAATCAGCAACAGTGATCATAGGAGCATTCACACAACATCCCTGCAGAAAACCAATTAGTAAAATGTCAAACTTGTCAGTCTAATAAAGAAAAAAGGTCAGCATAGACTTTTATCTCCAGATTGCATTTTGTCTTACAAATACCATTACCGTGAGAACTAGTAGCAAAACATGTATGATAAGGTAAGCCATGCCAAAAATGCCCTATAGTTTATTGTGTTCAGGTTTTCATCCATTGGAAACAGCACATGGAAATTTACAGTATCCTAGGTAGAAATCCTTTTCATGCATCTGTTCTCCAGAGATCCCCTGGCAACACTAGCCCATAAATTGATAAATATAATTATTGCCAAGCAGACTTCTATATACCAACACAAAATTACGACCTAACATGATTCTTTTTTTGGCCTTTCATACAGCCGACCCAGAGTTATGGGATATAAGGGGTAGTTTGTTGTTATTGTTGTAGACTTCTATATACCAACAAAAACTAGGCTAAAAAGCTAATTAAAAAATATAGATCTGGTTAGGTAAACATGCAAAGGAAAGACTTACCATACATTCCATTTCTCCAACTGAGAATAAACCATCCTTTGTTACCTCTAAACAACAGAAACAATTGATAATTAATCTTTAATACTATCTAAATACTTAATCTTCAATACTATCTAAAATTTCAAACTCTGACATGGGTTTTGCATGATGTAAACTAAAAGTACAAATAACATGTTTACAACATTTACCATTGCGCTTAACCCCCAAGTGTTTCAATAAGGCTTCTTCAATTTCCCGTGAACCACGTATCATACAAGGTGTTGTGCCACAAACCAATAGATGATACTTGCCAACCTGAAAAGCAATTGCATAAACTCATTTAGCTACTGCAACTTTGTTCATTGAGCAGGTAAATAAAGAGGTTTTAAGGTGAAAAGCAAAGATATAAATTCTAACCTTTGACCGGTTGAACATTGAATAAAATGTTGCAACCTCATATACACGAATAGGAGCAACTTCTATAACCTTCGCCACCTGCACAATTCATTACATGTTAAGACTGTAAATATAATTCATTCAGCTTTTGCATTATAAAAGGACTGCACCATTCAAATTAGCTAAATGAAAATATAATGGATGTCAATTATGGCAACAAAGATTTAATTTGCTTAGCCACAAAAGAAAACCTGAATTCTCTCCACAGACTTACCAGTATTTTATTTCAAGGAGAAATTTAATAACTGAGTGATGCATAATGATGAAACACCTTCTAATATTACATGACCCACTCAAGTTCTAAGCAAGCATTGTTTCAGTGGTAAAGAGATCTATCCAATTACCATTCTTATGTGATTTCAGATTAAGGAACACTAGCTGTCAACAAGACAAAAATAAAATGATACAGTTATGTATTTCAGTCATACAATCAAATTCAACATCAGCTCAAATAATTCTAGTAGATGCAATTATCTTGCTTTGGAGTCCTATGGTTGCATCAACTTTTCCTTTTTTATATGTCCTATATGTATATCAGCTTGAATCTTCAGTCATATCCAATTATATATTAACAGAGCATCAGGTACTAATGTTCCAGTAACAAAATGCTTAAGTTTTCCACTTGCTATGCACACTCCAGTAAGAGCAAAAAGTACAGGGCATTTTGCATGATCCACAATTAACAGCAGTCTAATATCCTTCAAAGAATTTCTAGCATGGACCTCCTTGCTCAAAGTTCACCAGCAATATAGAGCATGCATAAAAGCCACAACCTATGGGAAATTTTACTTACAAAAAGTACTTAAAAAGACATCAATAATTAATCTGACAATAGCGCAGGGAAATTGTTGAAAATAAAACAAAACTAAAATTTGGGGAAATTTTTCATCTAGTTCATTAAGTATTTAAAAGATTTTATTTGAAGAAAAAGTTTATCTAAAAGCAGTTCTTTTCTATTGTATTTAGCATTACATTAGAAACCAAAATGCAACATACATCACGAAACACAAGTATGTGATGCATTTGGGCTTAAAACAGCATATTTATTGCAAACCAGAAGCCAAATGCCAGGGCCAACATTTAATATTAAGCCAAAAAAATACTGGAATTTGCCTCCAACAGTGGTTAGGTTTCATATCTAATCAAAATAATAGGGATAATTCTTCATATTAAATATAAATCGGCTAATTTCTAGCATTTGAGAATTACCAGTTGAACAGTACAAATGCATCTCATCAAATGAATTTAATTTAACAGTATCATGCCACATACTGCATTCATGGCTGAAACAGGAAGCCACCCTCCTTGCTGCTGCTGTGCAAGATCTAGCAAAGGAATAACCGCAGATTGTTTGTAGTTGGATGGATAATGAGACAATATCTGCTTGACCTATGCATAATAACTTAGGATTATGACCATAATCAAATATGGACTTAAAGAAAGTTACAAATTACTTGGCCACTAAAAACACCTCTGGTAAACTTAAAACTGACAAAATCCATCAAATTCAAAAGAGAATGATGTTAAAAGGGAGGAAAAAATTCTATTATGTACTCATAGAATTCTTAGACCAAACGAGCTTTCAACAACCATACATAAAATGCAAATCTTTAAGTTCATATAAGATGTGAAAGTAAATAAATGGCATTTGATTTCTATATCTTACGATTATTGGAGTTTATAGGAGTTCCTCAAAGTTTAACAATCCGGTCATAGATTTACTCAGTCCCAAATCCCAATTCACTAATACTGTCAAAGCCAAAAGCTTTTCAATCTACAATGATGGAAAAATGATAACCCATAACTCGAATTACAAGCATTTGAATTTGAACTAACCTTTTCTTTGTTTGCCTGGGAAAATTCCCATGGAAGGTCGGGATTGTTATCTGAGCTATCAATGTGCTGCAACAAATTCATTCAATCAACTGTCTTTTCTAGCAGTATTACTTTTAGGGGGAAATCCCGGAAATTTTGCGTTGTAATATAAAATTAAAAAACAAATATTTATTGCTGGAAGGATTAGAACTTACATAGTTCAAGGCAGTGGAGAAGGATCGATACGCCTGCGGAACAGATAAAAAGGGAGGAAAATGAGATTGAGAGGTGTTTGGATGAGCAGAAAGTGAAGGGAAAAAGAAGAGGAAAAATAAATGGAAATACCTGAGCAGATTGACGGAAAGCTAGACGGATCTCGAGTAGCCGCTGGGACGCGAGTCGAGCAAACATTTTTTGGGGCGGAGTTTTTTAAGACCCTCCTTCGTTAAACTCAACAATGACACACACACAAAAAAAAAAAAAAAAAAGGGGGAGATTTGGGAAGAAAAGAAGAAAAAAAAGAACATAAAACTAACAAATTATTAGAGGTGCTCAATCGCGGACATTTACGATTTGGTCGTGTGCGCGGAGTGTGCAGCGTGGTTTGGCTGGGCCTATGACTCCACCAAGTTATTGGGCCTACAAAAAAAGGGTCAGTTACTTTTTGGGCTTGGCCTGCTGCAAACACCCTAGCCTACTATTATAATATTAAATGATTTTTAAAAACTTTCTTTTTTTTTTTTTTGTCCCGATAGGATTTCACTGATAATTTTTATTATTAAATGATATACTCCATTCTTGTCACCGGCATTTGTTTCGCTATTGTCTTTGATTTGAAGTACTCTTCTTAACTTTACAAATTTACCTTGCCCTAGTAACAATGTTAAAAATTACTTTTAAATTTTGTTATTGATATGTAATCAACTAATTAACATTCCTTAACATTTCTATGCACACGTTCCTTATAAAAATACAAAACCTTTTATCAAAAAAAACTTCAATAAAAAAAAAAAACAATAACATCAACGTTCAATAAAGATGTGGTTGTTAGCGTGTAAAAAATAAAATTTTAATTAAAAGAGCACTGAGGCATGATCGAATTTTAACATTATTCTTTTTATAAATAAAATGACAAGTTAAGAATAAAAAATATACATATAAGTATTTAAATTTAAAATTTATATTTGATAAATATCATTTTTTTAAAATAATTGTATAAATCAAATAATCAAAATTTCATGTTTTTTAATATTATTCAACAACAATCAATATTCTCCTATTCATAAGCTATAACAAAGCCCAAAATTGAAGGCATCCCTTATACATTTTAGGATAAAATAATTTTCAAATTCCATCAATTAAGGTGTATCTGGATAGAGAGTTTTGTCATCAATCTACTAATAGTAATTTATATTAAGAACAATTATTCAAATCTCATAAAAAATTTATTTGAAATTAGCTTAAATATTATGTGATACATAAAAAAATTTACAAAAAAAAATGTAAGAGAAAAATAATTTTTAATAAGTAAGTTAATATGCTTATAAATAATCGAAATTTCTATAAAGATATGTACGAAAAAAAATGTAAGGGAGTTGTAAAATTTTATTGGGTTGAGGCCTTGTAAGACTATAAAAGATTGATGGTTCTTTATGGGTATGTATGTGAGAATAGACTAGATGGGAATGATAGTATCCACATAAGTAATTTACATGAATACACATAGATATATATTTATTTGAGTTAAAAATATTTTATAGAACTAGAGTAATATGAGAAGACTCATAGGAATTGATTGTTAGTATTTGATTTGATATTTATTTGTAATTTTTTACAACTAGTAAATTTTTTTTTTCATTCATGGACTTAAATCGGTAGTGCTAAACCTAGGGATGTCAATCTTACTCATTTTCAATGGAAAACCTGATTTTTTACCTAAATAGGGATGATGATGAGTATTATATTATAAGTATGAAAATAGAGATGAGTATGATTTTATATTTTTATTTAGTATGGGGGTGAGGATGGGTAATATAACACTCATTTCGTACCCGTACTTTATATATATATATATTTAGCATATAGATTTTTTATTAAATAATATAAATTATTATTTTACATTCATTAAAATTAATATATTTTTATTGAAACAATATACATTAATATATATATTTATATAAAAAATTATTTAAATATATAAGATAAAAAAAAGCTAAAAATAATTTAGTTTTTAGTTTTTTTTTTCAAAGCAATGAGTATAAAAATTACCTATATCCATTAAATACATGTGAAGATGAAAATAGAGATAAATTTAAAATACTTGTTAGATATAAGCATAGGGATGTGTATAATATAAAAATAAAATGATAAAGAATGCTCTATCATGTCCGTATTCTATTCATTGACATCTTTAAATTAACTATATTAAATTATTATCTACTATATAATTGATTGATCATTTAATATTACTTTCGTTGACTTGATTGTTTAATTGTATTGAGGCTTTTGTGCCAAACAGTTTATTCTTAAAATTGACCGTCAACTTGTTCAATTTCTTGTTGTTCAACTTTTGTAAGATGATCAAGTTAGCTTCACCGTAGCAGTAGAAAGTTAAAAGTAAAAAAGGTCAAAAAGGCTTTTGAATAAAAATTCAATATTTATTTAAGTTCTTAACATTTTATTGTGATAAATCAAGTTCTTAATATTCTATTCAACTCAATTGAATTTTTAATTTGACGAAATCAAATCATATGACAAAATTGAATCAATTAATATTTGAATTATAGTCAATTGAACTCTTAAAAAGATCGGAGAAAAAAAAGGAAAATACAAAAAAAAAAATTATATGTGACAAACTTTCATTTATTTTATTGATGTCACATGAAATTTTATTTTAGTTGACAAAAAAATTAACAGTATTAAATTTTCATCCAAATAAAAATTTAATTTAATGCAAATCAATAATGGAAGGTTCATTAATTGTAATAAAAAAAATAAAAATTTGGATAATTTTTTACTTACAGTGTAAGGGCTTTTTACACACCCTTTAGCTTTAAAAAAATTATTTATGCGAACAATCGTCGTCATGTTTTCAACGCACTACAAACTAATATATTTATGTAAAAATAAAGCATTTCATTACTGGATTATTCTTAATGGTGGTTTTTTTTTTAATTTTGTAAATGGAATTAAAGAGCTATTTATTTATTTATTTTCAAAAATATATACTCTAAAAGAATACATTTCAATTCTTTAATATCACTAGAAGAACAACCCGACGATGCTTGGGTTGTGATTTTTTTTATGAAATATAAAATTTTTAATTTAATAATCAATAAAAAAATTAAATATTTTTCAGTATTTTGTTGGTTTTTATTTTTAATTTTTTGAAAATATAATATTTTGAAAAAAATAAAAAACTTAGGTTCTGTTTGGTTTAAGAAAATGTTTTTTGGTTTTATTTTCTATTTTCATTTTTTAGAAAATAGTTTTTATTTTTTATATTTTTTTAAAATGTATTTGGTAAATGAAAAATAAAAATTATTTTCTAAATATACAAAAATAAGAAAATAAATAAAATATTCAATGATATTACTATTAATGGCATCTAATTATAAATATAATATATGTTGATTAATTAATGATACTAAAAAAGTTCAACTATGGTAACTAGTAAAATACAAAGAAAAAAGTAACCTACATCTCTTATTTTCACAATTGAAAATATCATATATATTTTTTTGTTTTCATATCTCAATTTATATTATTTTTTGTTTTTTAAAATTTTGTTTTCATTTTCAATTATCAAACAAGTTTTCAATCATATTTTTCATTTTCTTAAAAAATGCAAACAGAAGATGGTTCTGTTTTCCAAAATCAAACACTACCTTATACTCTAATTGTGTTAATCAATTGCAATTGTGTAGGTGTTAACTTCTATTTTAAATTAAATTTAAATTCATATAATGCACGTATGATGCATCAAAGTATATTTATATATCAATAAGTTTATATATAATATAATTTTTTTAAAGCTATAAGATAAGATTTTATGTTTATTAACAGCTTAAAATTTATATATTTAGAGTTATATAATATTGAACAGAATAAAATAAAATAAAATATTTGCTTTAAATATAACATAAAACTTAAACACTTTTATTTATAAAATTAAATTAAAATAAAAATATCAAAACAGACATTTAATAACTTATACTCAAATTACACAAAAAATAATTAATATATATATGGAGAGTTATGCTATAAAACAAAAAATATATATATCAGAAGTGTAAAAAAATGAATAAAAAGATTAAATTTTAGAATAATTTTATATTTGAGTTTTTTTTTTTTTTTTAAATGGAGAATTCGAGAGAACCAATCTTAACTCATATGCTACAAATAACGTGTATAATTCTTTTAGTAGAGCATGACTAAGTATTATTATTTCTTTTAGTTAAACCCCTATGAGATAATATTTATAGTGTTGAAGAGTGAACAAAAAATAGTAAATAAAATTAATTAAGAAAGAAAGAAGCTATTAAAAATAAATGTGATTAATTTAAGCAAAATCCAATTAAATTAAGAATTAAATTAATTAATAGAAATTTATTCTATTAAAAGTAAAACTAATTAATTTGGTCAGAATCAAATCAATTAAGAGTTAAAATTAATTGAAAGAGAAATTTAAACTATTAAATATAAATGCAATTAATTTTTTTAGAATCAAATCAAATTAATTAGAATTAAAAACATTAAGTAATAAATACATGATAATTATTTAAGACTATATGTCAAAAACTTAAGCTATCCACTTAAATTATTTCAAATTATCCACATGTCAAAAACTTAAACTATCCACTTATAACAATTACCTTTTTTGCCAAAAATTTTGGCTTTAATATATATTTATATAACATGTTCGTTTTACTTATTTTTTTTAGTTAAAACCAAAATAAATTATGATTATCGAATATACATTCATTTTTACATTTTTTGGTTGTCAAGGGATTTTTTTTTTAAATGGAATGAAAATTGATATTAAGTATTATTTGAAATGAAAACAAAATTTTTTAAAAATAAATTTTATGAACTGGTTGTAATTTTTGAAAATAAATTTCTTCTTTTTTATTTTATTTTTTTATGAAAAAATAAAAATTTTGATTTTTTTTCTCTTTAATTTTCTTAGTACATGCTTTTTTTCTATCTTTTTTCTTTTAATTTTTAATATTTTGTTTCTATTTTTGTTTGAATTTATTTGTTAATTTTTAGCCTTATATGAAATTTTAAAAAATCTAATTTTAATTGGCCAGCTCATAATCTTGACTCCTTGGTTGATACATGCAATTCAAGATTTTTTTTTTATTTGAAATGTTATGTTGATCAAGTTAATTGAGTGATTGTTCTAGGAAATGTGAGTATCATCCTCTTTATTAACAATAAAAAAGATTGATAATGGCTTTTAGAGCAATTTTAAAAAGAAAGAAATTTATTTTTGATTACCTAAATGTCTC